GCTCTCCTTGAACCTTGTCATGTTCTTTAGGTAGGAAACCAGTCAGGGCAAGGCAACAGGGCAAGAGTAGGGGCTTAGTGTATAGCAGCTTGAATCTACTTCAGGATGGTGAGATATGTTAGAAAAGATATATTAAGGGAAGAAGGCAGGAAAAGCTATCTGTGGTGTGTGAAATTTTGAGAACAGCAAGAAAGAAATTTTTGGTGTCAGGTTTTCACACTGATTTGCTGTTTTCTGATAATTTCGAGCTTTACTCTGAAGAGCAGCAGTAAAGAGGCCCAAGCTACTGCAGGGCAGTGGTACTTTCACTGGGGAAAGTGGTGCCTCCACTTTGCCTTGTGGATAAAGTAACTGCAAAAATAGGCTGTCCAGGTTTTTTTAGTAAAATAATGAGTATAACCAACATGTCTAGACAGATCTGTTGTCTTCTATCTGGCAGAGATGCAGGTGACTGTGGTAGCCAGCACAACCATGTATTGCTACACCATTATATTGACAAACCAGGAATGACTTTCTTGTCCTCAGAGATGCAAATAACTGGACTGATTGTTCCCCAGGAAAAACATGAAGACACGCTACAGTGAGCTGTATGACCTGAACAGAGATTTAATAAATCAATACAAAATTCGTTGCAACAATCACACAGAGCTGTTGAATAATCTGAAAGCTGTGAATCAGGCAATCCAAAGGGCTGGGCAGTTACGTGGTAAGTCTGTGTTTTTGAAAGTGGGGAGTCTCAGACCCCCAGAGAGGCACATAAGATATGTCCCAGAGGTCACCTGGGTTAGTTAAGTGACTTCAGGCTTTTTGGCCTGAAGCTCAGTAGAAGTAATTTTTCATTCTTTAGTCATAGCCAGTTATGTGTGACAATCAACTGTGAGTGTCCCATATATTCTGGGATCACAATTCTGTAAAGAACAATTTGAAATTATTTCCACATTTCTGAATGAGGCAGAAATTGATAGTTTTGTTGAACATACTACTTTAAAAATGTTTTTAGAATTACTTCAGTTCTTAGATTATAATTCTGCTTTAAAAAAAAAGCAACTACTAACTTAAGCAGGACTGTTTTATCTGCATTATTAGCCCTGTAGGTCTTTGGGGAGGGAGGTACTTTTTTGTATGTTTATAGCATTCCCCTTCCAACAAACTCTCATAAAACAGAGCTACAGGGGATTTTTCTTTAAAGAAAGGATTTTATTTATGTACTAGAAAAAAGGTGGTGATTCATCATGTGTTAAAAAAGCATTTGAAAGAAACCCCAAAATTTTCAGCCTGGATCAAATAAGTATTTTTACCAGTTTCTTACTCTATAACTGAGTTTTTTCCCTTTCTTTTCCTTTTTTTTCCTCCTTTCAGTTGGCAAACCTAAAACACAAGTGATCAGTGCTTGTCGGGATGCAATAAGAAGCAGCAACTTCAACACACTGTTCAGGATAATGCGTGTGGGAACAGCTTCTTCTTAGGGAGAGGAGCAGCAGCTGTGCAGAGGCAGTGATTCCATGCACTGAGCAGATAATGGGTAATGGGTGACAAGCAGTTAATTCAGACCCCTACTCCACTGCAGAGTGAAGTAATTACAATGATATTGCTGTAGTTAAGTTGTCAGGTGAGAAATATTACAGAGACCAAAACTCCATGAAGAGACCATCAGAGTTTAAGTGCAGATGTGGTATTTATGTAAGACAGAAGTTCAAACAGTTATTTTTTATTACAGTAATTTATTTATGTATTTAAATATATTTTGTAGTTAAGGCATTGGTCTTTTCCATTAAAACATAGACTGGCTTGACTGATTTTGTTCTGATTTTGTTGGGGAGATGTTTACTGCTAAATTTATGTGTTGAAAAAAACCAACCCAAACAACTTCTCTGATTTCTGCTGCATGGTTCATTTACACTTGAACTTGCTGTGCTGGAGAGTCCGGGGTTTCACGCAGGGATGCGTGGCTCTCCAGGTAAACTGCAGAGCAGTGCATGAAAACCACCAAAAGATAACATCTTGCTGGCTCTTAAGCCAGAAGATCTTTGACAGATATCCAGTTCCATGATCTGTGCAGGTAGGAAGTGATCTGTTTCATATCCAGCACTCTCCCCACACCCAGATTGCAGAAGGTTTTGCTTCTAGCTACTGGTACTGTGCTACTGCTGGAAAAACTGCAAGATACTGAGGTGGGCAAGGGTGCATTTCAGGAACAACAAAAACAAACTACACACCCAAGCTTGGTGCATAATCATGAAGAGCTAGTAATACTTAATGGGATCAAAAGAAGGTATTGGAAAATGACTTGGCTCCTGGCTCAAACCTGTTTAGTTGTGTGATCTCTTAGAATTGGATTAAAATATTACAGTCAGGCTCTATCTGAGATCTAAAGGTATTTTAGAACCTTTGCCAAAGCAAATTTCTTTTGGAAGCTAAAAATAACCTGCACAGGATGGAGGTTGGGCCCCAGTGCTCCTGCATCAGCATCACCCTTGCCACCATACAATGGTGTTAGCGACGTGGGCAGGGAGGAGTTGGCCCATCTCAAAGTTCTTGGGTGGCTTCCTGGGGCTGTCAGAAGGAGTCATGGCCTCTAACTGGTCTTTCTTAGGAGCCACTACTGAATTAAAACCAGCAACACCCTTTGTTACAGAGCCACTGGTGAGCGTGGTGTGCCCAGTTGAATGGGGAATGTAATTCTCACAACATGTTTTATTCCCAAAACTGCCCCTCACCACTGCCTTGGCCCCTTCCATATGGAGAACTCTGCTGCTGAAAGCACAGACCTGTGTCAGTCAGAATCCACAGCCTGAGCTCATTTGAATCCTTTCAAGAAACTGGTTGTTAGTCAAATCCAGCTGCTTGGTAGAAGGGTGGTGAGCCACCCATGCTGTTCTAAGCAAGTGAGCTCAGAGACTTGATTATGGAACAGTCTCCTGGCATAAGTGCTGGGCTTTCTGCCACTTGCTGTACCTGTTCCCACTGTTTCAAGCTCTTGTTCTTTATGTTCAAAATCCTAATGCTTGCTTGCTTACATTTATGTCCTCCATTTAATGATAAGAGAGCAGCTCTGATCAGAAAGCAGCTTTCCCACCAGTCTGATTTTCAGGACTACACCCCCAGCTCTGGTCTGCTCCTGGCAGTGAGGTCAGTCCTTCACTCGCTGTCCAGACCTTTGGTAAGGCTGATTTCCCCTATCTAAGTTTCTGAAAACATATTTGTAATTTATTTTCCTGTAAAACCAACTTTTACCTTTGGCAAATGAAAAATGCATGTACTTTGAAAGCGGCTGCACCTAATTGTAAATACAGATTGGTATCCAGCAAGAGCATCTATAGAGAAAGCTCCCATTACTGGCACTGTATAAATGAAGGCCCCTCTTCCTCCAGTAGCTCATGTCATTTGAAATTTTAATGAGTGAAGTCTTTCCTCTGTACCTGCAGCACCAGTCATGCCTGGGGCTGCCTGTGGCTTTAGGACCTAACAAGAAGGGTGGGAGAGCAGAGACATGTTCATTTTTAAACCTTTGAAAGCTAACTGCAAATTTGGCTTCTTAAATTACTTCGTCTGAGTCACCAGAGGAAGAAGGGTGGTTCCTTGTGTGATCAGGTAGATAGGGGCTTGCTCAAGCAGAGGCTGGTATGCCCTCTAGTGTAATACTTACTATTAAAAAGCAGCAAGCTCTAAAGAGCCTGACTTCTTCCCAATCTCCTGGAAGGATGTTCCAAGATCTACCAAGCTCATTGTTAGTCTCACAATGCAGTCAAAGAAGTAACTTTGTTTTGTTAATTAATTTACTCCCAACTTTGCCTAGCAGACTATGCTGTGAATAGCTGTGGTGTCTGTCACTTTTGTTCCAAACTACCCAAACTTTTTTTTTCTTTGAAACCTCCATTACTTGTCTTGTTCTAGGGGAGAGCTCAGAACAAGAACTTGTTTCTGTAAGAACTGCTTTCTTCCCATGTAGAGCTGCTGCCCCAATAGGCAGAAAAGTACCTGAGAAACCATGATGCAAAAGGTTCTGTCCTCACTTCAGGATTTGTTCCTAGCTTCATCCCCTGTCTTTGTAAGTGGCAAAGGAAGATTAAAACCAAGTAAGAGAGTTTTGGCAGCACACAGAGATGCTGGCTTTGGGAAATGAGTCAGAGTATGAACAAGATCTTGCAACAGCAGCTTGGGGCAACCACCTCCCAGCCATCCTTCCTGCCCAACAGAGCATGAGGGAGTAGCTAGAACTGAGCAGCTGCTCATCATCTGGGATGGAACTGACACTGGATCTAGAGAGTCCTGCACAGCACTCTCTAAGAGCAGCATTGGCCCCTTGCTCTGGCTCCTGTGGAGGCTGAGATACCTTTCCCTTTGGAAGCAATGGCAGGGGTTCCTTGTTTGAACTTTGTGTATTGGGATCGAAGCTGAAGGTTGCTGCTCCTGTATCTTCATGCAGACATGGCCACAGGACATCCCACCTGCTCAGGAAAGGGTGCAGAGTACTCATGTCTGTCTCAATGCACAGTATTGAAAATGTGCAGGGAGGTGTTGCACCAGGGCCACACTCACTGCCTTTCTTGGAGTGTTTACCACAGGACTTGGCTGGCTGCTGCCTAAAACATCTGAGCTGATGTCCAATGACAGAAGCCATGTTAAAACCCAGGAGATGCCAGGACATAACAAAAAGGACACAAGGCCATGCTGTTTGGTGACCTCCCTACTACCTGTGGACACCAAGCCTGTGAAAGGTAAGTTGCCTCATTCCTGCTCCCAGTCCCTGGCCCCTGTTCTGAGGCTGGAGCTCAGAGCTGTCTGCACACCCACCCAAGGAGACTGTGCAGGAGCAGGTTTCTTCTTGGCTGTTTAGCTGTAAATTCTTTGGAAAAAGGCCTGCATCTAGGTCTGTCTGTACAGCATTTAGCATAATGAAGTCCTGTTCCTTGTTATGGTGCCAAGTCCTTCCCAGTGCCTTTATAGCCTCACTGTCTTCCTTCCCAACTCCACAGAGTTGTGCAGCTGGAAAAACCTCATATTTCACATGGCGGCTCCTTTATTTTTGTCTCAGGAACACAGTTAAGCCCCAGAAAATGTCTTGGGCATTTTCTAACAAAACTTGCTTGACCAGTGTATGAAACATTTAACTGACCCATTTCCCTTTTTTTTTTTTTTTTAATAAAATCAGTCAGCAGCTTGGGGCAATGGACAGTTGTAGTTCTCACCCTGGTGGGTCAGAGATGCCACTGTGCTGCTCCCACGAGAGAACAGCTGGAAAGGTGACAGCTGTGTGACAACCTCACCCACAGAGCATTAAAAGCAGTTGAGAGTGTGTTACAATGGACTCAGGAGAAGACTGAATTCCCCTTTTTGCAGTTAAAAAAACCACCTGCCCCCACATTATGCAGTGTGATGGAGTTGCATGAGCAAAGTTTGTCTGTGCTTAGGTCAGAGCTGAACGTCTGTGTGGGAACCTGCCCACCACCACTGTTCTCTGTGACAGTGGTCACACCACTCCATCACTCATAATAGACAAAGGAAAAGTCCCAAAATCCTGTTTTGTTTGGATGCTTGTTCAGGCGTGCCAAGCTTCGATGGTTGATGTATTTCACAAACTTCATTGTTTCTTTGTCTCTATAAACTAAGGCCAAGCAGTTGTCCTCTGGATTCACTGTCAACAGCTAGAGGACACAAAGATAAGGAAGGAAATCAGTTTCACAAAAATTGCTTTGATAAAATTCTTAAGAAAAAACAAAACAGTTTCAAAAATCAGTTAGAACAAAGGGCTGGCATTAGAAAATAATCTGTGACACTCTTTTCATTTTAATACCCTTTACCTGAAGCAGTTAGACATTAAGGGCTTCTGGACTTCTTTCTAGTATGACTGCTCAGCACTGTCCTAGTACTGATGCTGAATGGGACCCCAGTGAACAGCACTTCCCTGGACAAGTGTTATCCCTGCTACAGCCTTGTGTCCCTTCAAGGCAGGCTTCCCAAACAGCCCTGGGTGCAGGTGCTGTGAGGCACTCTCAGGGCCCAGGTCTCATGCTTTAGGTAAACAGCAGCCTCTTGAAGCTGAGGCCAGAGCTCCTCCCAGCAAAGGAGGCAAGGAGGCTCCAGTGCACTACTGAGCACTCTCAGCATTATCTTGGCATTATGACAAAGTGTAATCATGTCTCTCCACCCTAAACAGCTTTATTTGATTTTATCTGAGGTCCTTACCTCTTCATCTTCACCTTTAGCAATGTAGGAAGTAAAGCCACCATATTCAGGATCCCAGTCTTAAAATAGAAAAGAAAGATTCTTAGAAACCTCAGTGCTGTCCGGGCTCCATGCAGCCTTCCAGGATATGCCATTTTTTCACCCCACTCCTCAGAGTTATTGGATACAGGGTAAGTATTTACCTCCTGCCAGTCTATTTGTTTTCTTCTGTTCAGAAACAACTTGAAGCAAATGTACTGGATTTCCCTTTTATGGTAGATGGGCTATTTAAAGTTGTTTGGTGCACTGCTCCTCACCTGTAGAACAGTTCTGCCCTAGCAGATATGCCAAAGGATTTCAATCAGCTGTACATTCTGGACTCATCTGGTCTAAAATGCTTGTGTTTAGATTTTTTACCACTATCTAACTAGCAATCAACCCAAAATGCCTAGGTATGCCTAAAGTAACTTTTGAAAAAGCTGGGCTTTGTGTATTGGAGGTGTAGTGATAATTCTGATGTGAAAAGGGGTGGAACACTCCTGGGTGTTGTGGCCACCTGTCCCTCCAGCGTGCCCAGAGCCATTGCCGAGCACAGGAAAGGTCTGGGAGGCTCAGCCTTTCCCTCTGCCCAAGCGCCACCTCCTGGCGCAAGCGGGAAAGGCCAGAGATGATTCCAAGGCCACAGTCCCAAACCTTTGCATGAGGACTACTGAAAACAGGGTTTATGCCGAAGTGAGGACTAGGACAAAGTCTACAGACACCTTCTATATAAGAAAAAGCAGGGAAATTTTGGCTGTTTTAGCACTTCTGAGAACTCAGAAATCATTCCTTTATGCAAACCTTGTAAAAGGAGAGTCTGACATCTCTCTTTCATCCGCTTACCTTCACAGCCACAGAAGAAGAGGAGGTCAAGAGCAAATTCTGTGGCTTGAGAGTCGTGGACCAGAGTGTAGTGCCCGTGGGTCCAGCGTCGCAGCTCCCCCGCACACACAGGGGTGCCCGAGCCTAGGAGAGGGCACAAACACCCAGGGAGAGCCATGAAACCACACCAGCTGAGCTCAAAGCCTGAGAGGAGCTCAGTGATCTCACACCACTGTGAAATTGTCTGCTGGCCCCAGTGAAAAAGGGTAAAATCACATATCACATACCAGTATCTTTCCTAGAGGAGACTCTAGGTTAGGTACTTTGAACAACGTGTAGGAGTGGGACCAAGATTTGCTCCATACATCCTCTGCTCCTGGTAACTATTCTGGTGGGATTTTTTCAGTGGGACTTGGTTTTTTTATTACCTTTTATTCCAGTGTCCAGTAACTTGTCTGACTTAGTGCAGGATGAGCATTCAAAAATTCTACCCTTAAACTACAGAGCCACTAGTTTTAAATAAACATCACCAATCAAAATCCAAAATTAATCTAATCTTTCATAGTTGTCACTGCTGACAACTAAATTCAACTAATGTTTAGGCTGACAGTGTTTTCTGAAAGGTTGAATGCTAGTTTTAGGTATCACTTTTCTAATTCTAGAATTGTTTTACTTCTGACCTGCTCACATCTCTGTTTTGGATTTATTATCTCATAAAAGAATATGCTTTATATGAAGCAGGGGTATGTGGATGTAGAAAGCACATAACTATTGACAAAAGATTAACAGTCCCCCCAAAAGTCCCACCCTTAGGACTTATGTCTGTTCAAAATGGTATCTTCAAATTAGTCATTGATTTACTCCAAATTCTTTTGCAATGATCACTGATTTCAGATAATCAGTCTAAAATGCTTCAAGTCCCACATTTGTGCTGGTGCCTTGTGCTGGTTGCAGTACAAGGTGAAACCCTAGTTCCATGAAAATCCCTGGGAATTAAGTTGAATCCTTTCACACTGCTGCTGCTCTACTCACTGCTCTGCATCTCGCCGTCCTGTGCTTCAGGGGTGCTCTCAGGCTGGTGTGGCTGATGGGAATTGCCATTAGCTGGTTGTTCAGTCTCTTCCTGCTCAGGTTTGGGACTGCTGTGCCCACTGGTGTCTGCTGCTTGTCCCTCCCCAGCATCTTCATCCTCATCAGAGGGAGCCAGGAAGTGCAGTTTTAGGCCAGTGAAATTGGAAAGCAGTAAAAATAAGGCCTCAGAGCGCAGCAGCTGCAGGAATTTCTTCAGGGTGTCCGGGAGGCTGTCTTCCTCTGCTGCCTCATAGAGTCTGAAAGACAGCAGATGTATCTCCTTGTGGGAGAGCCAACAAGGACCACATCTAGATGGACAGCATTGACCAGTGCAGCCTCATGGCAGCTCCTACTCAGCCTGATCACCAGGTGCAGTGTGCTGTCATTCCCCACCTTTTATTGGCTGGCCCCCGACTACTCCACTGGATCTCTTTGTTCTCCAATGCTTCACATAGTAGTTGGTATTTCTCTTTCTAGGAGGAAGAGATGCAGAAATATTAACATTTAGCTCCCCAAAAAACAAGGTTGAAGACAAGTGTTTTATTTCTGCTGAGTCCCGATGCAGCAGTGTACAGGCAGTCAGAGGGGATCACTCCACAGATTCAGAGTGGTTGAGGTTGGAAAGGGCCTCTGGAGGTCACCTGGTCCATCCTCCTTTAGGTGTGAAACTTAGAAGGTGTTTTGTTTTAATGGGTGTGCCAGCAAGCCCTTTCCCAGCCTTCATGCCATGTGGTACCTGCCAGCCCCTGACCAGCTCTGGCAGATCACATCAAAGTGAACCACTGGGCTCACCTTAAGAAAGTCTTTGAGGAGAATTTCTGATCGCTCCTCAAATTCCTCCTGGATTTGAGCTTGGGAGTCCAGGTCCAAATAAACTTCATTGATCCACTCATACAATATTTCATGCTGGAAGGGAAATGGATAAGAACACTGAATTTTGAGAAGTGAAGAAGATTCCCAAATTCCCCCTACCGAGCTGGCAGCAGAGCTCGATTCCTACACACAAACACACTTCACTGCCTGAGTTCACTGCACCACAGGTATTCACCACATTCTCTGAACTACTGTAGGTATGTAAAACATACAAAGATACATAAGAAAGAAACTGGATACAAATTTATTAACAGGAAATGAAAAGGAGAATGGGATAAAGATTAAAGCATCCCCAGCGCAGTGATGCATTCCCTAACAGGTATTACAAGAACAGGACAGAGACAGAAATGTAGATATGCTTGTTACTCACATCATAGGGGATGTGTGGGCTCCTGGCCAAGGGGGCTTCAATGTGTCGTGCAGGCCTGGCCACAGACGGGCCGTGGAACCAACCGCTCACGGACAGGCGGCACTTCTGTGACAGAACTTCTGACACCTGCAATGACAGGGACAGCACTACTGTCACAGGGACAGCTGGAACAGGCACTCACTGTCACACAGGGACAGCTGGAGCAGGCACTCACTGCCACACAGGGACAGCTGGAGCAGGCACTCACTGTCACACAGGGACAGTGGAGCAGGCACTCACTGCCACACAGGGACAGCTGGAGCAGGCACTCACTGCCACACAGGGACAGCTGGAACGAGCACTCACTGCCACACAGGGACAGCTGGAACAGGCACTCACTGTAAACAGGGACAGCTGGAGCAGGCACTCACTGCCACACAGGGACAGTGGAGCAGGCACTCACTGTAAACAGGGACAGCTGGAGCAGGCACTCACTGCCACACAGGGACAGCTGGAGCAGGCACTCACTGCCACACAGGGACAGCTGGAACGAGCACTCACTGTCACACAGGGACAGCTGGAGCAGGCACTCACTGCCACACAGGGACAGCTGGAGCAGGCACTCACTGCCACACAGGGACAGCTGGAACAGGCACTCACTGCCACACAGGGACAGCTGGAGCAGGCACTCACTGCCACACAGGGACAGCTGGAACAGGCACTCACTGTCACACAGGGACAGCTGGAACGAGCACTCACTGCCACACAGGGACAGCTGGAACAGGCACTCACTGCCACACAGGGAGCAGCTGGAACAGGCACTCACTGCCACACAGGGAGCAGCTGGAACAGGCACCGTGCAAACTCCTGACAGGAAATGGACTTGGCTCCAGAGAGCCCACTGCATACACAGAAATGTCAGACAGGCCTAGACCAGGACAGATTATCAGAGAGAGGTCTATTGTCCTGAAGTCCATTGCAGGGTTCCAGAATTCCAGTCTAAGCTTTTACTCCAAGCTCACAGAGAATCCATTCTCTCTCTTCTTCTGAGAGCTTTGAGTAAATCACTATCTGAAAACAATCAGGGCAGTGACCAAGTAGATGCTGCTCTTAATTAACATCTGTAAGAGATAAACGACACAAAAATAACCCCCTAAGTGGCCTAGGTCAGGACATGCCCAACCCAGTGATATCACTGATTATCTTCCTTTCCAGCCTTCTGCTCTCTGGCCCTGTTTGATACAGTCCCTGGTACTCTCAGGTACACAGGAGTGTCAGATTTCAGTCAGGTGTTTGTGCCATGCAGATCCCCAAATTATTCATTCTGTTCCCAGGCCTTTTCCTGACAAGTCTCACAGAGTACTCCTTAACTGTATCAGCATTTCTGCTGCAGGGTACTGCACTGTGTCTATGTCACTGAGGGGGTACAGCCAGATCTGCAAAGTGCCCTTGCACTGTTGGCAAGGTGATGGATGGCCTGAGGAGCTCTTCTGGAGCAAAGTCATGATCACCATATCAAAATGTGAGCTATTTTAAAACAAGCCAACAAACAAACAAGTGAGAGCTAAATTCACAGCAGTGGCTTGCCAGGATAGTAACACAAAATAGAAATGGAAATTTTTCTTTCCCAGGATGATGCAGCTAGACTGATGGTTTAAATTTGGCTTTGTTGGTTCTTGTCCTCCTTTAAGTCCTTAAAGGCCTCTCTTTAGCACACACCACTTAGCACAAGTATCCACTCTACCCACAGTTCTTCTCCCTCCCCATCAGGACTGTAATAACACACAGAATGAATAACCACAACAATGAGGATTAAAAAATTAACAAGAGACAGCTCCTTGCCTGGTGGAAAGAGACTGGAGACACTTCAAAGAAAACCAGGGTGTTCCATGAAGGCACTAATGACTTGGTGATTTGCTGTGGCTGAAAGTGTTCTGAGAAAGAAAACATATTCTGGTTAAGATATGAACTGGGACTTCTCTCTGACAACATGATTCTGTGACTGGTGGGACACCTGGGCATAAGGAATGGAGCTCAGAGCAAGGGGGCTTGCTGAGGAATCAGTGCAACTCTGCATGGAGACAGGAAGAGGGAGTTGGGGCTGTTCAGCTTGGAGAAGGGAAGGTTCTGGGGCAACCTAAAGCCTCTTCCAGGGCCACAAGGAGCTACCAGGAGTGCTGTAGAAGGACTTGGGACAGACAAGGGCATGGAATAACAGAACAAGGGGGAATGGCTTCAAACAAAGGGTGTGTTTAGATTAGCTATTAGAAAGGAATTCTTTACTATGAGCAGTGATGCACTGGCACAGGTTGCCCAGAGAATCTGTGGATGCCCCATCCTAGAAATGCTCAATGGGCTTTGCAGTATCCTGGTCTAGTAGACCATGTCCCTGCCTAGAGCAGGCAGGCTGGAACAAGATGAGCTTTAATATCCCTTCCAACCCAAACCATTCTGTGGTTCTGCTGCTGGAAAGGGAAGTTATTGTCATCAGTCTGGAGTTCTAAGCAGTGGCATTGCTTCCATCTTGCCTCTGCTCTTGACCCTTCCAAAAGTTTGTCTGCTGTTGCCTGTTAGTACTGTCTGCAAAGTCTGCTACAGCCCATCCCTAAGGGACACACTTTACTCATACATCAGCTTCTCTGAACAAAGGACAAACTCTTTATCTCCCTTCTACTGTCTGAGGTGAGAATTGCTGCAAGGGGCACATGAGCTTCATTTTTTCATCCACCTGAGGCTGAGCTTGGAGATTTTACCATCTGTGCTGTACAGATCCAGCGTTCCCCCATCACTTTTCTCCCAGGGTGGGACAAGGTACAGGATGAAGGCGATTCTCCGACCTTCCAGTTCATCATCGTGGCACAGCAACACATCTGCAATTACACACATTTTGCTGCTGTAGCATCTTTCCAGTTCATGCATGATTCATTCCAACTACTGCTTCCCAGTTTTGTCCCCACAAGGATGTAACAAGAAAAAACATGTTCTTTACAAGAACTGCATTTTCACTCATCAGCATCACCAGCCTGAGATTTGCAAGATTCACTTCTGTGGGACTACAATTGACAGATCAGGCCACTCTGAAGGTGCAGGCAGTATACATCAGCAACACTTTTATCATCATTTGCAGTTCATTTTCAGACACTGTTTTGCTGCTGACAGCCTCTGGGACCCTCTGGAACTAGAATAAAATTAGTTGTTCTATAGACATTTTATTCCCTACACATACATAGAAGCTTTAGGGAAAGAATCACTTATAGACTGACCAGTATATTCATATTTAGCACAGGATATGTCAATAGTTGGCTCCAGCTCTATCTGGGTCACAGCAGAAAGCCACACTTGGAATTCCTCACACAGAGCATGCCTGGGAAGATAAGCACACAAGTAAGTGTCGTCCTGTGTTATAAAACATATAATCATAGACTAAACTAATTTATTGTCTCCCTGCCAACTGTTTAAACAGTTACAGCTGCTGTTGCTGTAAGTGACAGTGTGTTTCTGTAGAACCACATAGGTGCTGGCCAGGAAAACAGCCCAGTGCTCACAGCACTGCTGGGAATAACCAGCAGCAAGCATGCAACCAGTCAGAAGGTGCACCGGGAAGCGTTTCAGAGGTGACAGGAGAGCTGACTATGGATGAAAGCTGAACAGACTTCAGTGCCCATGGCAAGCACAGAGCAGATTCAGCGGTTTTTGGCCCGAGTATGGGGCAGAAGGCGACCACGCCGCAGGCCCATCCCGCAATCGCCTTCCCTGTGGAGCCACCACAGAGTGGGGCAGGACCCCGAGCCCACGCTTTACCTCAGGGCAGCGACGTGGGGCTCCGGGCTTGCCCCCAGCTCCTCGGACTGCGGCGGCCCATGGAAGAGAAGAAGGGACGGGGTTAGGGTGGCTGGGCTGGGAGCAGCTTGGCCCGGCCCGGCTCAGCTCGGCCCCGGGCCCACCTGCCACAGCGAGAGGAGGTCGTTGCGCCGCCCGCGAAAGTCGAGACCCAGCAGTTCATCCCGCAGCGCCTCCGCGAAAGCCGAGCCCGCCAGAAAACCGGGAATGACACCGTGCCGGAACGGGGCGGGCTCCAGCACCACCGCATCTGCGAGGGAAAGGCCGTCGGTGAGGGGCGGGGAGCCGGGCCACGCCGTACCGTGCCGGTGCCGGAGCCGCTCCCCGCGGGCCCGGCCGGGCCGTACCGTGCCGGAGCCGCTCCCCGCGGGCCCAGGCCGCCCCCGCGCGCTCCCGCAGCGCCGCGTCCCCGAGGGCCGCGCAAAGCTCCGCGCGCGCCTCGCGCCTCCCGCGCTTCGCGGCCGCCGGCGCTGCCGCTCCGTGACGCTTGGTGGCCATGGTACCGTCCGGCCGGACTACAACTCCCTGCGGTCCCCGCGCTTCGCCCGCGGTGGCCAATCGGATCGCGCGCGGGCGGAACGGGAAGCCGTCGGCCAATAAGCGAGGAGAGGCGGGCGGAGCGCGGCGGGTCCCAGCAGGCGGCGCGCGGCGCTGAGGGCTGGGCGGGTGTTAATGGCGGACGCCGCTCCCGCCGCCCAGAAGTGACTGATCGCTCCCGCCGCCCGTTCCCGCCGCTTCTCGCCATGTCCGTGGTGCCGCCTAACCGCTCGCAGACCGGCTGGCCCCGCGGGGTGAACCAGTTCGGGAACAAGTACATCCAGCAGACGAAGCCGCTCACGCTGGAAAGGACCATCAACCTGTGAGCGCCGCCTCGGGCCTGCCCGGCTCTGCCCCCTCCCGTCCCGCCCCGCTGCCGAGCTCGTCCCCAGCGGCTCGGCGGGGTTTTCCCTCAGTGCCCGCCCTGCGAGGTCCGGAGGGTCCCGGCCCTTCGGAGGGCTGGGGCACAGCGGCAGCAGAGCCCGAGTGCCGATGGGGGCCCGCCCCCCTCACAGGGGGCTGAGCCGCGCTGAGGGTACCGAGGGTACGGAGGGTACCGAGGGCTTGCCGGCCTTGGTGGGAGTGTGGAGCATTCGGTGTTTTAGTGCTTAGAAACAGCGTCTGGCTCGGGAGGTGTGAACCCCGGGTAACACAGGCAAGGTTTAGGTGTGGTGAGCATCACAGACGTTTTCGTGCTCTCCTAGGCATCCAGAAAGGTGGCAGAGAGACAGGGATTTTTCTTGGCCTCGCTGGGATTTGGGCTGACCGTGGGCAGTCAGTAGGATGTGGCTGGATGTGCCTGGTGTTTGTGGATTGTCTGGTACTGATGTTGGAGTTAAAATTCAGAGTGTTTCCTACCACAGATAATCGTCATAGATACAAACTACTTACTATTAAGTATTCATGTATTTTTTATGAGAAGTCATATATTTTTACTTCTTCCAGTAAATCTGGTGGATTTGGGATGTGTTCTTTGCTAAGTGCATCTGTCAAGTTGTAAAAACCAGCAAATGTTAGCTGCAACAGTCAATATTCAATTTTAGCTATTAATCACTGACACTTTTGTGTTCTTTTGGTGTAACTGAGTTTATTCAGAGTCATGTGAAAGTTCAAATATGAACTTTAGAAATTGGAATATTTCTACTGGGTTTCTGAAGCAAAGACTCATCATGAAGCTGTGTTACCAGCAGCATTTTTTTTAAGTCAAGGCTGAGGGTTTTGATGGACAGACTAATGCACCCACATTAGTATAGTATGGGTTAGCATAATAGGTTATTATTAAAACCATTTGTGTATCTAAAAATGGAAATGAAAGGAAAAAGAAAAGTAGATTATTTTAAACTATAAGTGAAAGTAGGGGAGCTTGTTAGTAAATGAACCTGTGGTTTGGAAGCTGGTTGTTTTGGCTCACTTGTCTACATGAGAAAAGGCTCTGACAATGATAACTGGCTTGTTATTTTAATGGCTGTAAAACATGAGGTAAATTGGAGGAAGAGGAGGGCTGGAATTTGAGGGGAGAAGAGTATGTGCTACTAAAGTTTGACATGGTTGGGGAAAGAATCCATGCCAAGAAGCATTTCAAGGAAAACATCAGTCTTTCATTCTGTTAATTCAGTTGCTTTGTGCCACAGGTCAGTAAAACCATGGTGTTAACTCATCACTGCTCTGCCCAGAACCATTTTCTTCTCCCTCTTGACTTAGCTGGGTGGTTCTGTCTTTCCTCCAGGTCTCCTGCCATCAGACCTGTCTGTTACATGGATTTAATTGTACAACAACACTCCGCTGTTACCCTCTGTGCTGTCTTGGACTGACCCATTTCTTGCCTAAACTTTCCTTTCTTTCTGTTTTCAGTCCCTCTTACCTGGAGAAATTGCCGAGTTTCCGCTGCAGTGTCACAGGAGTGCAGGGGCCCTGCACCAGCCCAACAGAGGGATCTGCTCATGCTCTTGATCCTACCCCAGGCTCCCAACCCTGTACTCAGAAACTCAGCATTTCTCCTCTTCTGTGATCCACGTGTCTGATTTCCCACTTCAAAACAAAACCACTTCTGACAGTTTAGTTCTCAGGCTCTCATGACATCTGCAGAAGAAAACCTGCAGTCCTGTGCAGCTTCCTTCCTTGCCAGCAGAGCTTTTTCTCCAGCCTCTTTTCCAGCTCCTTTCAGAGCATTTCCCTGCAGCGTGGAGATCAAAGAGGGTGGCTGTTGGATGACAGTTGGTTCTGTGCTTCTTTTCCTTCTTTTGAGCCTGCACCAGGCTAGAGTGCAGCTCAACAGGACTGTCTGTGCTTTGTGTTCCATAGTGCAGATCTCCCTGGGACAGGGGCCTCATAAGCCACAAAAAAGATTTTAGCCCTGCACTATGACTTACCCATCAAGCAGTGAAGGGTCTGCCTCAGGCTAGACGCTGTGTCATGGGGATTTAAAGTTAGATTCCTTGCTGTGCAGTAACATTTTTTCTCCTCCTTACAGGTATCCTCTGACCAATTACACGTTTGGCACAAAGGAGCCCCTGTATGAGAAGGACAGTTCGGTGGCAGCTCGGTTCCAGCGCATGAGGGAGGAGTTTGACAAGATTGGCATGAGGCGGACGGTGGAAGGAGTTCTGATTGTGCATGAGCACAGGCTGCCCCACGTGCTCTTACTGCAGCTGGGTACAACTTTTTTCAAGCTGTAAGTGTCTGTTTCCTAAGTGTAACTTCAGTTTATTGTCACAGACCACTAAACATGTGGGCTAGAGGTTAAACTGTGGCCAACTACTCAATGTTTTGAATGGATTAATTGCTTGTAAAGACTTAGTCTGGAAAGTATTTTTTGAATGGTGGTGTTTTAATCTAAAGTGTGTTTGACTCTGCTCGTGAGGGGGATGATTTAGTTTGCAACTGACTGGGAATCTTAGTTACAGTGCATCACTATAGTAAAATCTTGTTTAAAACTCATTGTCAGCATTTGGTGTGTTGTACTTGCATTGTGAAAGCTGTTATGCTTCAGCAGCTTATGCTATGCCCATAAAAATGGGGAGGTGGAGGCCAAGGACTAACCCCCTGTAAATGCAGAATGATACCTGTTGACAAACTAATGGCTGAGCTGGGATAGCAAGAAGGGTAGGCATCTAAATTTGAGAAAATTGTTTCAGTTCATCTCATAGTTATCACAGCCAGGGTGAAGTTTTAGTGATTGAATATGGTTGTAGTGATGGTGGTGATTTTCTGATTTTCTTTTTTAAACTAGATGGCCTTGACTTTTCTCATGTTACATGCTTGTGTTCTTGTTCTAACATTTTATATTCTCAATTTTGTGTGTGTGCTAAATCTAATTTTACATCTAGATTCATTTTTGGCATCTTGATTTGAAGGGCTGTTGCAGACAAACTAGGCAAGATTGTAAACGATTTGCAAAATGATGTAATGACTGTAATGAAAATGAATAATCCTGCATCATTTTCCCACATGAGTTTTATTTTCTGCTTTCTGTATGCTTCAGTGACTGCTGGTTTTGTGATAAGAACAAATACAGGCAGTATTTACAGCCCTTCAGCTTCTGGTTATTATTGTTAAAACTTTACCCTATAAGGGTCTGAGTTATTATCATGTGTATTGTTATGGTTTGTCCTGCTGAACTGAAAGTATTTTATGAAATGGTTATTTTTAAGGGACATAAATAGCCATTTTAGTTTCAGTTTTGGTGAAAGCTATGCCGCTGTCTTCAAATTCAGCAAAGCTAGTTCTGGAACTTCTGACTTAAGAGCCATAAGTGAATTTGTAACTCCCTGTCTGGAAGCACACTGGAACTTGCCTATGAAGATTAGTAAATGCAATAAAATAACTTTGGCTTTCATCACTGATTATTTTAACAGACCTGGTGGTGAACTCAATCCAGGAGAAGATGAGGTAGAAGGGCTCAAACGCTTAATGACAGAGGTCTGTTTGCTTTCATTATGTTGCTCTAGCAGAATGTTGCATTTTTTTAGAATTACCAGAATAAGCTAAAGCATTAGAGTAGTTTTCTTACCACTGTTGTTATTTTGTTGCTTTTGTGATGTTCTCAGGTAGTTAACAAATAAAGCAGTCAAGTTTTCATTTATCTGCATCATGAGTGTGGCTGACTCCTACCTGCTGCTCAAGTCCTGTGTTCATTTGCAGCTTTGCTTTCTGACTGGCTTCAGGCAAGTGAGTGTAGAGATGAGCAATAAGATATGTTCTGGAGGACAACTGATGGGGACTTGCCTTTGAGATGGTCCTCCCAATGCACCATTTTCTCCAAATAACTAAATTAATTCTGCTAGATAATGTAAAAATGTATTTCATTCTTCCCATTGGTCTGATAGGACTCAATCCAGCTGAGTACAGCATAGATTTTGAAAAGCTTTCTAGAGTGCCCTTGTCCTATCAGGTGAGGCTTTAACTAAAAAATCTCAATTTATACAAAAATACTTTACAATTCTATTGAAAGCTGTCTCAGAGCAGTTATGAACTACATCAGACACATATTACAGCAGGTCTTTGTGCTTCCAGTATGTGTTTACTAAAACAGTTTCCTTGAGGTAGTTTGAGGTCTGATTAGTACTGGATGTTTGATAGATACTGGGTCGTCAGGATGGTGTTCAGCAAGACTGGGTGATTGATGACTGCATTGGCAACTGGTGGAGACCAAACTTTGAACCTCCCCAGGTGAGTGCTCCTGTGGGCTTCCATCTCCTTTGCTCAAATTCTGTCTGTACTTTTAAAAGCCTTCAACCTTTCACATGGGCTTCTTGAGTACCTGCTGCATGAGCAATTAGTTTTTCTGGGTTTTGTCTATTTAATCTCCTTTCTATGACTGAAGAGAAACTACAGACTTTTTTAAAATGGAAACTCCTGTCTCCCTTCTCACACCTGTCCTCATGGATGAGAAACCACTGGATGTTGTAGCTTCCAGTTCTATGCTGAGACATATGCACCATTTAAATTCCTTTTGTAGCCACAATGGAGACTGGCACTGCTGCTTATGGAACAGGTGCCCTAGTCTCACTACCCTGTTTCTAAGGGCTTTAATATTGAAGATCCTTGCTTAATTTGTTTTTATGCATTTCTGTTTTATTGAGCTGTTTTAACTGCTTGTGATATTGCTGCCACTTCAGAGCCTGTCAATAGTTGTGACAGCAACGGCATTTCTTTCTTAAATACTTTCTTAGGAAAATAGTTTTCTTTATTTGATGCCATGAAAGAACAATATATGACACACTGAAAGCTTGTACAGGGCTTGATAATTTATTTACTTAAGATTACACAATATTTTCAAAGCTCTGTACAACTGGTTTTTACCATTTTTCTTCTAGTACCCATATATCCCAGCTCATATTACAAAGCCAAAAGAACACAAAAAGCTTTTTTTGGTCCAGCTTCAAGAAAAGGGTAAGTGTTTGTTTGCATGAAAGGGTTGTATTTGTAACAATGTTCAAATGCTTACATTTCACTCAAGGAAAACAAAGTTGTGATTGTGTTTGTTATGGTATTTTATACCAAGATGTGTATGCTTGCTGTTGTTTGTGGTTGATCACTAACAAAGTTAAATGCTGGTATCTGTTTTGAAGGTAGATGATCCTTTGAACATGAGTTCCTAGTAAATTTTCATTCCTGCTCCTGCATCAGTCTGTGTACAGCATGTGAATCCCACATTTAACTAGAAAAGCAATAAACATTGAGCTTGAGTGCTCCATGTAGTGAACTTGTTTTGAGGTCTGTGGGGGATGATGATACCTTGGCTGTATGTGTGCTGGTTTTTCTGATTCATCAACTTGTATTTGTTTTTAGCTTTGTTTGCAGTCCCCAAAAATTACAAGCTGGTTGCTGCACCATTGTTTGAGCTCTATGACAATGCACCAGGATATGGACCTATTATTTCCAGCCTTCCTCAACTTTTGAGCAGGTATGTTGTATTTGTATGGTGGTTCTTGGGAACACGTTTGCTGTGGGACACCAGAGCAAGGCAAGGTGCTACAGAATCCAACTTGAAAAGGTGACATCTGTCCCAAAGATTCTGCTTCAGATGAGTTGGACGGACACTTTGGAGGCACTGATCACAACTGGCTAGCACCAAAGTCCCACCTAGCAGTTGTAGCTAAGGAAGACATGGAAGACAGTGAGGATGAGGCTGTGCACAGACTGAGGAACAGCTTCTTGGAGCTGTTGGGGACAGCTGGAGAGTTAAAGCCAGGATGTGAGTTTGAAGCACTGAGTTAGGTATGCATATTATCACAGCTTTGTGCTGGCTGAATGTGGTGGGTTTTTTACACTCTCTAGTGGTGTTAATGAAGTGTAGCATCTTTCTGACACAAATATCTGTAGGGACAGCTGTATATTTTTCCTTGATGTTGCAGTGTATGCATGCTTTGACTTTCTCACCTGGGAATGACTTATGGCTCGTCTCTCCAGAGCTCACTAGTCCCACTGCTCTCTTACCTGAGAGAATGATCAGGCATGCCAGGAGTTCCACAGCCTGCCAGCTCTTCCTCAGGGAAGTAGTTCTGTCACCTGCCTACTATGATGAGAAATGTTAGCACTGGTGTTGCCCATAATATTCTTGTTTCCTGCTGAGTATTTTTCTCTCTAGCCCAAATTTTGGCTTCCCCTCCCCTAAAGACAGCAGGTATATATGAGTACCAGCAAAACACTGTCTGCTGTGCAGGTTGGGTAGTGGTGCAACAGACACATCCAAAGGCTGGGCATCTGGAAGCTGAGATGGATGCTTGCTTCCACACTTACTTATGAAACTTAGCTGGAAAAAATTCTCTTTTCACTATGTCTGTATGTTCCCCTTGGAACATGTAAGGTTGGCCTAGCAGCAGAAATGCTGCAAAAGAGTTGCTGATGGAGGAATGTAACTCTCACTGTGATTTATGTATCTATTAACCTGTTTTAGGAGATGAAATGTTAATAATTAGTTCTTCTGCAACCATAAGAGACAGTTGTACAATGCTAGAGTAGGATTGGCTGTTAAAAATGATGTATGTACTGCTATACTGTAAAGCTGTCTTATTAAAAAATGTACTTTTGTCCTGTCAGGTGGAGGCTTATCCAGAGCAGAAACAAAACATTTGCTTATTCATTCAAAAATGCCTTTTAAAAAAAGATTGAAAACTCCTCACTTGGTATAATCCTTTTACTTTTAGGTTCAACTTTATTTACAACTGAATTCCTATGTACCTGAAGACTCCAGTAGAAGAAGCCGTCTCTGTGAGCACAGCTTTGAACTGTAGAGACACGAATATGTGTGACACAAGGATTTTTTTAAGTCATTCTCTTCCTGAAGGCCACTAAACATTCTATGGTATGAACAGAGAAGTGAATCTCAACTGTTTAGCTAGAGAGATGGCAATGGGCTACCAGTGTTATAATCCCTTTTCATTGTAATACTCACCAATTTTTTGTTTTGTACAACATTAAACAATATGGTTAAGATTCTGTTTGTCTTGGGTTTGGTTTGGTTTTTGTTGTTTTGTTTTGTTGTGGTTTTTATAGGTTTTTTTTAAGGTTTTTTTTTCCTTCTGTTTATTAGTTGTTTTATTTTTCCTTATTGTCTCTTACTTTTGGATGCATATTTTAAACTTTATTACTTTTCTTCAGGAATACAGATGATCTTGGAATTAGGAGCTAAGCCATTCAGGGCCCATTCAGATGCTGTGATCTTTATCCCTGGGCAGTGAATATCCCTGGGATCAGGGAGAAATGAAATAGCTTAAGTGGGTTCAATATTGTTTTGAGTCTTAATTAACTTGGAGACCAGACTGCTTTTTTGAGGGAGAATGAGTACTGAAAGGCAAGTGTAGCCTTTACCTTTTTTACCAGAACTGATCTGTTTGTACAGGGCTTGGAGGAGATGCAGCATGCATCTGTTCCTTCAGTGCCCCCTTAAGACAGAAACAACCCCAAAAATTCTGTTGGACTGGTCTGAGATACAGTTAAAATAGGGAAAGTGAAGTTAATTTTATATATTTTTCCTTAGCTATTGGACAGAATTTGGGTCATGCTGAAACACTTAGCCAATGCCACATGCAAGTAGTTCCATGTTATGCTGTCCTGTGCTGTCTCATCCTGCAAGGGATACTCACACTTCTGCTTTTCCCCAACATTTCAGTTTCTTGTAGGCAGTAAACATCAATCTTTCTAATTCTGGGGTTTTTACATGCTTGGCTAAACATAAGGTCTAGTTGGATGTGACACTTCCCAATGCTTTTAGTCTTCCATGATTTTGCTTAATGAGTCTTTAAAAGCTTTGTTTCCAAGTTCTGCCTCTGATCAGAAGATGCACTGTTGCTTGTGCACTGTCCTCTTATGAAGGCAGGGTTGGAGAGTGCCAGCTGCCAAGAGAACTGAATCTTGCCAAAGTGCTTGGCTCTGCTGCCATCTGCACTGGGAAGCAATGTACAGAACAATCCTGACAGCTTGGTGCTTTGGTCAAATTGAAGCTGTGCAGTATGGCAAATGTACTGCAAAATGCTGGGAAAGGTAGTGCAAGGGCTGTTCACTTTTGTCCTATGGATGGAAGGCCCACACAGATGGTGAGTAGAATGTACGGTTTCTTAGCTGCCAGCAAGGGGAAATAAAGCTAGCAGGGCCGTGGAAAACAGAACTCTTTTTGCCTGTGGAAGTAAGGAAGGGTAGATGGAATACTGGAAGTCAAGTGCTGCAAGAACAAGGAGTAGAGTGTAGCTTTTGAGCCCTGGCACTTTAGAGCACCTCTCACCTAACTCCACAGTAGTTTTGAGACTAATTCTTATTCCAGGCTGCCTGCGGAAGGGCGCAGGGCTCCTGCAGTCTCTACGCGCTCTCCTCTGCCACCTTGCCTGTAGCTTGGGGGGCTCCCGGAGGCCCCTCTGATTGCCCACGCGCGGCTCCGGCGGTGCGGCCGCTGTCCCGGGCGCGGGGGGGTGCGGGGCAGGGCCGGGCCGGTGGAAGCGCCGCCCCGGCCGTGACTCAGCGCGCGGGGTGACGGGCGGACGCGGCGCCCGGAGCCGGGGCGGGGGGTTCGGGCCCGGTCTCTTTCCTTTCTCCAGCGGGGGCGGCTCGCCCGGCCCCGGGGAGGGGCGGCGGGGCGGGCGTTAAGCCGGGGGAGCGCGCCGAGCCGGGGCCGGGCGGTGGCGAGGGCTCCGCGATGCCGCTGCTGTTCCTGGAGCGCTTCCCCTGGCCCAGCCTCCGCACCTACACGGCGCTCAGCGCCCTGGCGCTGCTGGGCGCCGGCCTCAGCGCCTACCGCGCTCTCAGCCAAGCGCCCTGCGGGGCGGCGGGCACCGAGCCGGCCGAGCCTCAGCGCTGCGCCGGCCCGCGGGCCCTGGACGTCGCCTACTACCTGCTCTCGGACAGCCTCTGCGTCTGGGTGAGCCCGGGGCGGCGGCGGGGCCTGCGGGCCCGCGGCCTGCGGGGCTGGCAGCGGGATCGGCCTCTGCCGGCACCTCCCCGCGGCCGGGGGGCGGTGGGCGGCTCCGGGGAGTGTTTCGTTATTGTTGTTTGAAAACTGCTCGCGGAACGAAGAGGGGGCTCGGCTGGGTTTCCCCTGCCCGCCCTGGGCCGCCTCCGCCGCCGCTTCCCTTCGTGCCTGGCCGGGGCGGTGGGGCAGCGTTAGAGCCGAGCGCCCGGAGTTCAGCCCGCGGCTCGTGCTTCTCTCCCCGAGCGCCCCCCGCTCGTCCTGCCCGGGGCTTTGGGAGAGGCTGTTGGGAGCGTTTGTCGCGGACCCAGGCGCTTGCTGGGCTTAAGCTTCGCCAAGCGCTGCCCGACCTGCTCTGCCAAAAATCTGTGTAAGGGGCTATCCGGTATTCGAGCCCAAGCCTTGCTGCCTTTATTTATTTTATTTTTTTTTAAATAGCACTGAAAGTCTTGTAGGTAAGAGGAAACACTCTCACCATTTAAGGAAAAAAAAATCTGTACCTTTTAAAACCCAAACCTCATAATGGTTTATGAATTTTGGCTCACTGATTTGTAGTTGAAATAAAGGCTCAACAAGGGGATATTGGATACCTTGCTGAGCTGTTGTTGTTGAACTTTTCATCTGTCTGTCACTCAAAGGTGGCAGTAGTTGGACATCTGCTTCACAACATACTTGCTTGACTGAGGTGCTGTTTTTTAATATACCAGACATATTCATCTTATTAAAACATGGTCTCACAGCCTTAAGAATCCTGGAGAAGTTACATCCATTGGAAATGAAAGGGCAAAGCTTCTTCATCATCTACCTTTTTAGTGTCCTACTAAGGTCAAAAGTTAATTACAAGTGCCTTTGCCAAATGTGAGATGTCAGTTTTCCCAGGCCCATGTCTTCTGCTTCTTGCTGCTTTGCTGTTAAGAAGTTTTCCAAGAAACCTCAAGAAGTGTTTTTACTGAAGGTGTGTGTGCTGTTCAGCACATTTTGAGGCAACCTCTGAATCCTCTTACTGTAACAACAGATTCAAACTGGATTTTTCTTATCTGCCATATGTTAAACAAAATTACCATCTTGGTGATCTCTAAGTTTTGTCCTTATGTTCTTTTGTGAAATTTGTTAATCTGTATGAAATAATTTATTGTGAAGAGGTAGAGCAGTTTGTTGGCCTTACTGCTGTACCAAACTGTGTTAGTATTTCTAGAAAAAAAAAAAGCTAAGACTTATCAGCTACTTCATGTGTCTTGAAAGAGGCCAGGCTTAAATTTCATCAAAAGAAAAGGCAACTAATACTGTTCTGTGAACAATGGCAGGTTTTGTTAGGCTCCCCTTCTCTCCCTTCGTCTAAATAGGGCAAAAGTATTTGTCACTGACTGCTTTATTTCTTTCCAGGTACTAGTGAACACTGCCTGCTGTTTTCTGATGCTGGTTGCTAAGCTAATCCAGTATATGGTGTTTGGTCCTCTTCGTGTCAGTGAGAGGCAGGTGAGACAGCAAACAAGGAAACTGTAAAATATGACAAATGGTGTGATTTTCTGTATGGAATTGCTGAAACTGCACAAGAAAAAAAAAATTACAATATATGTCTTACCATTTGGTTAGCTAGTATATCCACAGCCACAAGCTTCTGGTTTATTTTGAAGGGAATTTTTGTTATTGTACTTTATAAGCCTACAGTCAACTTAAAAATCCTGTGTCTTTAATGAACTCTGTTAGATTTCTTACAAGCATGCCTCATTTCAAAACACTTGTAACGTGTTCTTCTCTATCCTGCCTGCACCTGGCAGCATTTCTCCATTGCTTTTTGTAGTTGTCAGCACTGGCAGCTTTGAGTTCCCTCTTCTTTTTTACCTTGACTGCTGGAGAAGTGCTTTCCATTTTCCTACACTGAGTGAATGGTTTATCATTGCTGGTTTAAGAGGGAGTAGGCAAGAAAATCCCAGAGAAGGGAGGTGAGCAGGACAGAAAACTGAGGCTGTTTAGTCCTGCTCTTGTCTATGTGAGAATGGTTGTAAAAGTTCAGCAAAGGAGCTATGAAAGCCCAGAGTTTTTAAAAACAGGATCCTGCAGAAGATGAAGGCAGCAGCAGGACCTTGAATAGTATCTCTAGATATTTTTTTTAAAAAGTAAGGCAAATGCATAAGTTGCTTGTGTAAATGCAGGAGCAGTGGTATGGAGTGTGTTCACATATTAAAAAAAAGTCTGTAAAAAGAGTTCTTTAGGAGGAATCATGCCATGATGATTTTTGACATGCAGAACTGAGGCACACAAAGCCTCATTAATAACTGTGGAGCTCTCAAAGCCTATTGTGTTTGTAATTCTTACCTTGTAGAGGCTCTAAGTGTATTAAAACCAAGACACTATCAAACTGCAGTGGGCCAGATTTTCTCTCCAGTCCATGTTGACTATAAGGATGTGGAATTTTAACTGGTGATGGTTTCCAGGATGTTCTCTGCCCCCTTAAAGACTGAAGTGAAAAGCAGTAGCAGTGTGGATCCACTTGTGTTTGGACAGAGGGAGTTTGTCATGTAAAGGAAAGCTGCTTATTAATACTGGCGAGCCCAAAACAGCAGCATCATTAAGGAATTCAGGGCCTGTCTTAACTAAACTCCTGGTGATTTCATTGTGTACTTTAACAAAACATTTTGTTTCATAAATTTTTTAATCCCCTCCAAGCTGGCTTGCTGTCTGCTGCTTGAGAACATCATATTATTTCTTCCCTACTTTTTGTGTGTGGGAATGGTTTTATTTTCATTGCTCATCTATTTTACTCTCCACTGTAGGCATTGTGATTCTTAAGCATAGACTTCATCATCTTTTCTTAATCATCTGTACTTTTTGGCAGATTTTTGGAAGCAAGGTACTAGGCAGTTCAGGCACCTTGAATAACTAACTGTGGTAGCTCTTCCAGCAGAGAGGACTGTGTGTTTGCAGCCTGGTAGCTGAGTTGCTTGGGCATGAAGAATCAGACTGAAATCAGACTTGCTTTGTGCTGAGCACTGTTTTAGGAATATAGCAGGAAACTGCATTGTGTGCTGTGTAGCACAGTTATGCTGCCATGGTGCAAGAAACTAGATAGACAGTAAGGTCTGCTGGTACTTTTAATATGTTTCTTACTTGAGTCTCTTCCATTACAGCATCTCAAGGATAAATTCTGGAATTTCATTTTCTACAAGTTTATCTTCATTTTTGGTGTGCTGAATGTTCAGACAGTGGAAGAAGTAGTGATGTGGTGCCTCTGGTTCTCTGGACTTGTGTTTCTCCATCTGATGGTTCAGCTCTGCAAGGATCGCTTTGAATATGTAAGTTTTGATTAAGGGCTGTCTTTTGGGGCATGCAGATTCTGTTTCTGGCTCAGGCACTGGCTCAGATAAGGTACAAACAGATCATTTAGACCTTTTCCACACCCTGCGGTGCTGAACACGTGCACGTCCCATTAGCTTCAAATACTTGCTTTAAAGTACAATGTCAATCTTACTCCTTCAGTTTTCCCATGAGACAAATGGAGCTGAAGATCCTTATTTTCTGTAATAAATTGCTCCTTATATGTGCCCTGTAATTACTGTTACATAACTAGATGAGATGGCTTCATAGCTCTCCTTAGTAAAGGCATCTTAACAACAGAGCATCCCTTAGATTGGTGCCCTTTAGGATTGGCCTGTGGAGCCTGTTTCTGCAGATTCTGTGCTCAGGTTTCACACTCACTTACATATACTGAATTTTGACTGCCAGTGTCTTTACAATATACTGTGCAATTTTCTCTCTAAGCTACATCCCACTTTCTGTTAATACCAGGAATAAATTAGGTAAAAATGCAGAAAAGGAAGGCTAAGCAAGAAAGAAGAAACTGTAATTTAAACAGTAAATCTTGGCCTTTAAACTATAATGGGCCTGCATTTTCCCAGGCTCCTCTCTCCTGGCATAGAAGTTTTACCTGAATTGAATCCATGAATCTTTTTTTGGTAGGTCTGGGTTTTGCAGGTGTTTTTTTTAATAATGTCCAGTAAGGCCTGTTAATTCATGGGTAGCTAAGCACTTAAACTTGAAACTACATTGGCTAGGGTTAGGAAAATTAAGACAGCAGTGAGCAAGGCAGTCATCTGGTATTTTTAGTGTTGTTCAGAAAGCTGTGAAAGAATATGGCTCACTTGGGAAGAAATCCTTATTATATTATTTTTGCATTCAAAGCATGCATAGTTGTTTTTTGCTTGGACAAATGATACTTACATGATTTGCCTTGTGAAGATGGGGCACGTGGAGCTGAACCAGATGCAAAGAATTAAAAAAGAACCCATTTAAAAACAAAACATGGGAATTGACTTTGTAAATCAGACCAGAGTGAAGCTTTGGGCAACTCCTTCTTTCCTTGTCCTGTTCTTTCTCATCCTGCCCTGGAAAAAAGATGATGGACCAACATCCACTTGGGTTGCCTTTGATTTAGACAGACCAGGTGTAGCCCTCTGTTAAAGTAGTTTAGAGATTTAGCACACTTTGCATGCTATTGAATGAGACAACTAGTTTTCAGCAGAGTCTGTTCAGCAGTCTCTAGCTGCAGCTTAAATGGTTTTTTGGGTAGACATCTCTTTCTTCCAGAAGTAAATGACAGTGGAAGAACTATGGGATGGAAGACCAAGCTGGACAAATTCAGATCAGCTGCTTGGTGAAAAATTGGCAAAATGTTGCTTGAAGACTGTGTTTTAGGTTAGGTGTCTTTGTAAAATGCATATAAATCCTAAGCAGATGCTGTGGATTTGGTGCAGAAGCTACTGTGTCTCTGGTTTTCTTGCACAGGTGATTTAAACAGCTCAAATAATCATGGTAATTGTAAATAAAAAAATAATAACTGATTGTTAAAATGTGACTGTAAATGACAGTAACATGAATGAGGCCTTGGGATAGTGTGTGGGTTTAGCTTTATTCTTCATAATTTATTACGACATTGTATTGTGAAATTGGTTTTATGCTAGAAAGCAAAAGATTTTCCTGAATGAAGTCTTGTTTGGTGAGGTGACAATGGAAGGCAGGGTGGATGAAGTACTCATTTAAACTGTCACATACATATGTATTTGTGTTGCAGCTTTCCTTTTCTCCTACCACACCCACGAGCAGCCACGTCAGAGTGCTGGCCCTGCTCATAGCCATGCTCCTGTCCTGCTGTGGATTAGCAGTGGTCTGTGGAGTTGTTGGCTACACCCATGGCATGCACACATTGGCTTTCATGGCAGCAGAGGTGAGACTTCCTTCACGTGTGTTGTGGGTTCTGCTTTGCCTTTGACCCCTCACTTGGGGGTATCCTGGTATAGGATGGATTTGCTTTTAATTCCCATAAGAAAGAAACTTTGAAGACACAAACAAATCCTCCCCTGTTTTCCAGAATTTGCCAGATTGGCATGCTTTCTCTCTTTAGCCTTTAACCCTGAAAAAACTCTTAGTCTGAGGAAGAGAATGAGAGGGTAGACCTGTAAGGTGATCCTGAAATCAAATGACAGCTTATGAAAAAAGTAATGATTGTGCTTCATGAGCCTTGCAAGAAGGGTTGGTGAAACAGCACCTGAGAGATGGAGAGAGTGTGTATGAAAATTAATGTGCACTTCAGCCTCTTTCTCTGAAGTTGTATTTTCTATTTCATTTCTGCCCAAAAGGAGTGAGACATCCTTTCCTTAAGGCATACTCATGGCTTTTGCTTATGTTTGTGTAACAAGTTGTGTCTCAGCTGAGATGAGCAAAGCATTTTTGTGCACTCCTGAACACTGTGCCCTAAACACCAGTATGTTTGTGGAGTGAGCACCAGTGTGTTTTTGATGTTGTGGTGGGTTGTTGCACTCTGCCTGAGGAAGTGATAATCTTTAACAAAGGAGAGGAATCCAATCCAAGTATGTTGTGTTAGCACATCGTTAGTTCAGATAACAAATAACATGTACAATTTATTTTCCTTCTCCTATCGTGAATTCATACTTGGAGCTAGGGAGCAGGAAGGAAAACAGCTGATAATAGGAGAATATGATGCTTGTCACACCAGAGTTCAGTTATCAATATGTCTCTTTATTTTTCCATGAATATGAGAATATGCAAGACCAGATTTGTAATGAAACAGTGGAAGGGTATTGGAAGATTTAACAGTGTCTCTGAAAGGTGGGGTCTCTTTGGTGTCATGTCTCTTATCTTGGCTTGGCAGAAGGATTATCAGCATTGCACCAGCTCAGGGTAGGTTAATCAGGGAGTGCTGTGGTGCCTGTGTTGCCTCCTCAGAGCTGTGCTATGTGGTAGTGTGGGTGTTTGGGGTTGCAGGATGGGGCCCAGTTGTTCATTTCAGTGGAGCTGTTCTGTGTGCTGATTAATGAAGGAGTGGCTCAGTCAGTGGAAGTGTGGGGAATGCAGAAGTAAGGGTCTCCTAGCTGTGACTGCAGCCACTGGTGTTTGAGAACATTCCTGAGCTGAGGGCTGTACAAACCCATTGTGTTTGATAGTCCCAGAGGTACTCTGGAAAGTTGTATGATCATTCATTGAACTTGTTTGTATGTCAGCCTCTGTAATATCCAAAGGCAACAAATTCCACATTCACTTGGCTTTCTGTAGATGAAAGATGTCCTCTTTGAGTTGTTCTGAATCTTGTGTTTGATAATCACAGAATGATTTCAGTTGGAAGGGATCTTAAAGATCATCTAGTTCCAACCCCCCTGCCATGGGCAGGGAATAATGTTTAATCTTTTTCATAGAATTTGTAATTTTATCATCCTTTTGCCTGTTCTTTCCTGCCTTTCCTTCTAAGCAAAAGAATTCTAGTCTGTTTAATCTTTTCTCATAGGAGATTGTATAATATCTTGCCATTTTTGAACATTTTAAATATTCCCTGTATGGATTGGGCAATCATGAGTAATTTCCTTGATTTTAATACCCAGAACTTATGTGAGTGAAATAAAATATTTAGGTTTCTTTCCGTACAAGTACTGGCAGTGACACCTCATAGCAGACTTCAAGCTCTTAGTAAAAAACAATAAATCTTTGAGACTGAAATGTTTTTCTGGTGGTGGCTTGTGTGATGCTCCTCGAGAGGGACCCTGCCAAGTGTATTCCATTAGTGTGAATGAATTACATTAAGTTACATTAAGGTATTAATCTCTCTTCTGCAAACATTGATTTAGCTCAGGGTTTTCAATAAAGCAATATAGGTGTTTTTCTTGTGTTTTAGGTAACTTCCCCTTGTTCTCTGTTGCTTGTCAGCATTTTTTTTTTTTTGCTGCAGAAGGTGGATGTGAAATGTGCAAATGCCCAGAGAGAGCTGAGTAGGGACTTGGCCTGTATTTTTGAGTAAACATTAATCTTTTTTGCCTTAATATATGGTGTTCAAGAATTACAGTATAGCAAGCAGTGTCCAGTCTGTATATCTTTGCATGGTTTTTTTAAAGCCAGCTAGTAAACAGCTGGCAGATATGCTGGGTATTGCAAAGGGTTAAATAGGCATAGAAGCACTTTAGGAATGCTTTTTTACAGATGGAAAAAATTATTCAAACTAACTGGCTTATTGCTACTTTGGGAAGTTAGTGGTTTTGATAGTTCTTCTGTCCTGTTCACAGTACTTATGCAGAAGGCATGCCACCAGACCAGTTTCACAGAAGTGGTTTCAGTTGCTCATTGTAAATCCCCTGCATCTCGGTGTCACTTGGCCCCTGCTACCTACAGGGTGGTGTGGGCAGTCTCTGGGGGAAGCATGTCTGGTGTTTTTCACTCTGAGGATAGAATAAGAGATGAGCACTGTGGGCTTGATGGATTACAGAGAGGTGATGGGGCCATCTTCTCTTAGATGATGAGAGCCCAGGGAAATGTAGTTTACCTTTTTGGTCATTTGTCTTTACACTTCTGATCTTACACTTTCTGATAGACTCAGGTTTTTTTCTGTGTACTTAGCCTAGAAACATAAGTATGGTTAAAGAGAGAAGTTATTTTTGCAGCATTTACATCTCAGCAAAGTGGGGGGGAAGATTTGAAATTATCTTCCTCATATTTCTGTTATTATTCAGTTCTTCCAGTTTTTTTTTTTTGTAAGAAGTGGGATAAAGAGAGGTAGTTGGTGGGATTGTGGTCTCAACACTTGCTGAGTGGTAATAATTGAAAAAGGCAATACCTCCTTTGTAGTTGGGAAAAAATGTCACTTAGCAGCAACACTAGTGGCTGCTTTAAAAGCATGGTGTCTTTGGAACAATTTATTTCATATTTATTTATAAGCTTCAAGGTTCTGTCAGGTATGTTGTGCACACAGTCACCCATAGTGACCATTGGTTCACCGGACTTGTTAAGGTGCAATAAATGAATTTTGTGTTTTAGCCCTTGAGCTCCTGCATCTGCACCACTGTCCCTGCCAGAATGTTGTTAATATGTTTGGGTTTTTCTTCCTCTTTTGCAGTCTCTGCTGGTGACAGTCAGAACTGCTCATGTGATTTTACGGTAAGTTCTGTAAGTTCTGTTTTACAGGCTGTGTGTTCAGGATGGTAGTGCATATAGCATGTTTATGTAAGAGGTGTAGGTAATTACCTCATTGAATTGCAAATGCATGTTTGGAGATTGAGAGCAGCCCTAAGGAGAGACCTGGGGGTGTTGGTAGATGAGAAGCTTGACACGGCCCAGTAATGTCAACCACATCCTGGTCTGCATCCCCACAGTGTGGGCAGCAATCAGGGAGGGGATTCTGCCCCTCTGCTCTGTTCTGCTGGGACTCCCCCTGGAGTGCTGCATCCACCTTGGGCTCCCAACATGACAAGGATGTGGACCTGCTGGAGTGGGTCTAGAAGAGTCCTTAGAGATTTTCAGAGGAATGGAGCACCTGCCATGGAGACAGGCTGAGAGAGCTGGGGTTGCTCAGCCTGGAGAAGAAAAGGCTCTGGTGAAACCTTAGAGCCCCATCCAGTACCTAAAGGGGCACCAAGAGAGCTGGAGAGGGACTTTGGACAAGGGCATGGCATGAGGGAATGACTTCAAATGTGACAGAGGACAAGGTTAGATTAGATACTAGGAAAAAGAATCTTCCCTGTGGGATTGGTGAGTCACTGGCACAGTGAGTGGTTGCCCAGAGAAGATGTGGATGCCCCATCCTGGAAGTGGTCATGGCCTGATTGCATGAGGCAGCCAAAGGGTTTGGAAAGAGATGATCTTCAAGATCCCTTCAAACCCAAACTGTTGCAGGATTCTATGAGATGAAAAAGGTGGTTAGCTTTAGCCTGTGCTGTTTTTTAAGCACAAGTTCTGCAATTGACTTTTTTGTTTGTTTTATGTGAGTGATGTGTGTGTCTTATCCTGAAGCCTTTATTTGAATAAAAGGTTGTACTGGTGTTTAAGTAGTTACAGGACAGGAACATTTCTTTTAAAGCCAGCTAGTAAACAGTTGGCAGATATGTTGGATAGTACAGAGGATTAAATATGTGTTGAAGCATTTTAAGAATGATTTTTACAGATGGAAATGCATTTTAGGAGTGCTTTTTACAGATAGGGGTTGAAATGCATGGATAGCCTTAGTGGGTGGTATGGCTTGAGGCATGCATTAAAGTGAATGGGTGCTGCTGGATGAGGTTTGATAGATGCTACTTAATGTCATTCTACAGGGTTTGTTTTAAGGCCCTGGTCTCTTGAAAAAGTCTTCTTTGCTTTGAAAAAGTCCCATGCATGTGTACCTGCACCACACCTCTGTGTGCATGTGTGGGACATGGTGTGTAATGCAGGAGCCTCTTTGTGCAGGTCACTGTCAGCATTTCAGGTCTGACACTGAGCTCTGGTGACTCACCCAAGAAACACCTCACGTGCTGAAAAATGTGCTTCTGTAGTTGCTGTAGTCCTAAGGTTGACTTCCATTACCTGAAGTAGTTTTTAGCAAATGCTGCATCTTTTCTATCAGCTGGCAGTGTCTGTAGTGCCAGTGTGGGCTCAGCATCGACTGTTTTTGCTTTTTTAAAATGTTGCTGTTTGAAACCAGTAACATTAAAAGAAGTCCTCCTTGAGTGAGCACAGTCTGTGGGTACAGGGCCTCAGAAGGGTGAAGAATCCATATCTAGAAGTTTTTGAAAAATGAACAAAATAGTTTGAATTATAGAGATGCTATTTAACAGCAACAAAAAGGAATAATGTTAATTTCCTCACTCTTGCAGATATGTAGTTCATCTCTGGGATCTCAACCATGAAGGAACGTGGGAGGGCAAGGGCACTTACGTCTACTACACTGATTTTGTCATGGAGCTAACCCTGCTTTCCCTGGATTTGATGCATCATATTCATATGCTGGTATGAAATACTGGACATAATGCTGAACAAATAGACTGGCCTTAAAATAAAGGGTATTGGGTATACACATTTTTGCTTATTTTGGAAACCAGATATTACAGAGAAGTTACTTCCTCCTGTGCAGTTGAAGTCATCACAAATAACTTTGTTAAGGAGTATTAACTACTGTGTGTAATTATCTGTTTAGTAGGTGTTTAATTAGCTTTTTTTATTGAGTAATACCAGACTGAATTATTTCATTGGCAGCAGGAGATGCTAAGCTGGACAGGACTGAATTCAGCTTATTCTCATTATAAATGCTGTGCTACCAAATTTCTTTGTGAAGAGGTAATGAGTGGTAGTACCTTTGAACATGGGTGGTTGGTCTGAATGGACCCAACAAAAGAGAAATTCTTCAGGGCTGGTTTCTTGATTTCTTTGTCTCTTAACACCTGATGCAGCTTCTTGTTTCTCATGGTGCTTGTTTGTAATGACTGCTCTGTGGTTTTCCCAAGCTGTTTGGCAATATCTGGTTATCCATGGCCAGCCTGGTGATTTTCATGCAGCTGCGCTACCTGTTCCACGAGGTGCAGCGGCGAATTCGGCGGCACAAGAACTACCTGCGTGTGGTTGGAAACATGGAGGCCAGGTCAGCCCCTCACTTGCTCTGCAGTCTTGATGTAGATCTGGCAGAGAGGATCCTGAGAAAGAACTTGGGATTCTTTTATGTTCCTTTGATACACAGTGGCATGGTGTAAGCTGGACAGATGCAGTGTTCCAAACCTGACCTTAAGTCTCTACACTTGGATTGTGTTTTTACCCATTTTATTTGTTAGTGGGGAGACTCTTTCTGGGTTTAACAGATAGGTAGGATTGACTTGTATAATGGCAGCATTACTGGTAATGTATAAAGTGGCAAAAGAATGAACTCCTCTGACCAGTATTTCTTCTGTATTTTTTTGCATACTACCTTTGTTGGGTGACAGAAGCTTTGAAGAGCTCTGCCTGTTTTAGCTGTCAAATACTGGCTCTGGCTGTGATAGAAATCAATGCTCTTAATTTCATTAGGCCATGCCATTCACTTACTGACTGAAATCAAAATATTAATTAAACCCTGCCTAGCTTTACCAGTGTATTTACTAAAACTGAAGCCAACTTTAAGACTTTACCTAAAGTGGAGCTAGGAGCACTTTGGCAGTACTTTAGTCCATTCCCTTTTAGTGAGGTCATATGGAGAAATTGGGATGCCTGCTAAATCCTGCTGCTGTAGTCCAGGTGGAGAATGCTGGTTTGTCTAGAAATTCCTGAGGCTTTTTTTTTTTGAGAAGTTGTTTAATGGCTGTGATATTACATTAAGAGCTGCATAATAAAGTTCATCCACAATGCATTGTTTCTTTCCAGTAAGATGCAGCCACTGAACCCCTTTGAGCTGTTCACAAAGGTGTTTGAGTTGCATATGTAACAGACTTCTTATCTGAATAACTTGCTTGTTCTTCAGATATATTCCACACCAGCAGTGCTGTGAAATGTTGTTACACCACTCATTTCTATATTGTTTGTGTTTGGATACTGTATAGTAACTGCTTACATGGCACTGTAGCTTAAAAAACCAGGGAGAAAAGTCAAGACAAATGGGAATGGCAAAATTTGAGGCCAAAATTAGTCACCATAAATGCTTATGATCCCAAGCAGACAGCTTAATGGGTGCAGCTATTAAAACTCATTTAGAAAAATGACATAAACCAAATCTATACAGATTATAATTTAAGGATCTCAACAAAATGATCATATAATTGGCTCTTGGAAGGTACTAAGTCAAAGCTTTATGCACTTAGGATGTATGAGGAGGTGTGCAAAAGAGTGCCTGCAAAAGGCATCATAGGCATGTGTATGTGTGTATTCCTTTGCAGTGCAGCCTGAAAAATAACAAATCAAAAATAACAAATCTGTTGGCATAGGTCTCTTAATGAAAAGTTAACATGGGGGGTAAGGTTTTCTCACTGCTGGATTCTCTAGAGAGGAGGCTATGCTGAACTTGTGTAGTCATTCCTTCTGTCTCTTCCTGTTTCTTCTTTGCAGGTTTGCAGTTGCAACACCAGAGGAGCTGGCAGTGAACAATGATGACTGTGCCATTTGCTGGGACTCCATGCAGTCTGCACGGAAACTCCCTTGTGGCCACCTCTTCCACAAGTAGGTGTGCAGGCTGGAGAGGTGCACCCAGCTGAGAAGGGAAGGGAGAGATGGGCATGGCTGGAATTCACAGTGGGATGACCAGTAACAAACTAACAGCAGAGCTGATGGGTGCTTGCTGCCTGGGTTGTCTTGGTCTGCTTCTGACAACAAAGTACAGGTCTTTTTCACTCCAGCCATTTTCATGTTTGGGTTGTTCCACCTGGTGCACTTGTTTTCCCCCAAACTAAGTGTGTCAGCTAACTAACCTTGTCAGTTAATGGGTAACCAGTGTTGAGTTTCTCAAACACAGGTCAGTAGATTTGTTGTGTGCAGGTTGTGTTCATTTTCAGGTGAAGAAGAAAAATTAGAGCTGAATCCTTAAATACTTTCCAGGTATCACCTTTAAGGAGAAATCAGGGAGTATTTTTATATAGTGCATCCTCACATGATGGTGAGTCCCCCAGGACAGCTGTGGAGGCCAGGTCTGAATCTGTGGTTTCAAGGGGCAATGAGTCCATCAGGGCTGTAAAAGAGGTTAACCAAATCAGCAGCAATGGTCCCTAAGGAGCTGGTAGTTAGAACTGGGAGACTTTTGGCCAAAGAACCTCTCTATACACTCCTTCTTACATTCATTCAGTAGTGAATAGTAGCATATGCTTATGGGCATAGTGTGCTGAGCTGGATGTGACTTTCCTTCGATCTTTTGTAGCAGTGCTTACACTTCCATGCCTGTGCTTAAATATGAAATGAAAAACAGGTGTTTCTGGAGGGCCATGTGATGAATATGCAGGTCAGTTAAATTGTCCCTGTGGTGTTACTTTCTGTAAATAGCTTTTTGCTTTTCTGGTAACTGTCAAACCAGAGGTTGTAATCTGTGTGCTAATTTGTTGTCATTTATGACAAACCTTGCCATAAATATTTATCTGTGTTCCAAGAAGTCTCTAATGAGATAATGTGCCTCCATAGCAGAAACTCCTTTTCCAGTGCTACTGAATCATGTGAATATTTAATCACCTGCTGAGCACTTGAGAAGCCCAGGGTCTTCTCTTCAGAATGACATTTTCTCTGTATTTAAAAGGATCCTTTTGTATTTTTCTTCTGAAGCAATTACAGTTCTGAATCGAGTTACACTCCTTGGTGCTTTTAGGGAGGGAACATGTTAGACTGGACGGCTTGCATATAAAATCAGATGTAGCTAATAACTCTATTTACAACCTGAGAGTGGTTTCTCTCCTCATAAAAGCCTGGTGATTTTGTCAACAGGCTGAACACTGTGTCCATTCTCAATTACGTGGGATTTTTTTTCCACATGAGTTATTTGGAGTGGAAGAGAAGGTGGCAGGGAAGATTTGTGTGGCTGAGCTCAGCCCTGTGCCCAAATATTAAGGAAATTAATTGGGAGTAGTTGTGTGACTCTTTTAGGCATGTTGAAACTCTCCTTTACCTTCTAGGAAGCAGGCAAGTTCAAGAGTTGTTGCTCTGAAAGGTGGCCAGCCTTGACCTGCTGTTTGCCCTTCTCCTCCCAAGGTGCTGTGGGTGACCAGGGTGTGACCACAGCTGGCTTCTGGGCTCTGGTGCTGATGCAGCTGACACAGGGTTGTGTCCATTCCAGCATCTTGGCTCTTGAGCTGTGGAGGAGCAGCAGCCTGGTGGCAGCTTGGGAGACTCTGGCTGTTTCCCCAGTGACCTTTGCAGTACAGCTCAGCAGAGGTGTGAGTTGCTGTGGACAGGGTGGGCTTCCAGTGGTCAGGGAGGTGATGTTGGACAGCACTGCCAGTGCCAGGATGCTGGTTGTGCTGCTGACCAAGGTGGTGGAAGGTGGCAGTTTTTTGCTGTGATGCTTTGGTTGTTTTTGGGAAACCCATCACTGTGTATCCCTCCATTGCAAGATGATGGAAGGCATTTTGGCAAAGTTTCAGGAATTGAGCAGAATGCTTGTATCCTTGACTTCACTATAGTCCTGCAGTTAGAGCTTTTCCCTTGCTTTCTCAACCCAAACCTGTGATCTGTGCCTTCATTTTGCTTACAAATACACAATTTTGGGAACAGGTTTATTTGATCTTTTTGTACGTCTTTACCTTTCTAAAGTGTTTTGAGAACTTTTGGAAAAAAACCCACCCTGCAAAATGTGAAGTATGTGTTACAATATTGAGAAGTGTTCAGCCCTGTGAAATTCAGTTCTTCCACACTGAGAACTAGATTTAACTTGAACAAATACTGCAGCTGGGTATATCAGCATGAATCAAAAAACATGCACTGCTTTGAGTGTTTCAGCCTGCATTTGAAACACTTCTCACTTTCTGCAGGACAGAAAATTTCAGAATTAAGGAAGGATTGTAATGGCACAGAATTGTTAGTATTAGTAAATATGTGTGTAGAGGTTTGCTGGAGTGGGACTGACTTTTGTGGTTTGGGTATTGGTATTTTGAAAAGCTATTTGAAAACACTGGAGGTGCTACTGCCTCATCACAGGCAGAACTGCTATGAAAATGTGTCAGGATACATTAACTATGTGTCCAGTTGGTTTTTGCCTTTTTCTTTTGGGATGGTGAGAGAAAAGAGCTGATTTCTTTTCCCTTCCAGGCAAAACTTGCTTGTTCTGAGCTAGAAGGACAGCAAGCTTGGAGAATGTTTTAAGCTTGTGATAAATCTGCATGCATATTTATAAAAAAGCAGACACTTGAGTATTTTCAGCTGAAAGTAATAGGAAACCTATGCCAGAGTCATCAGGAGGGCCATGTGATGAATTAAGCTCATTAAGGGTATCTCTGAGCAGTCCATGTGTTGATGTTGTGTACAGAATATGCTGCAGCTGCCTGATGTACTGGTGACAGTGGTGTTTTGGAAAAACACTGCAAGCTCACCCCAGTGTTACTGTTTTCCTGTCAGCTCGTGCCTGAGGTCCTGGCTGGAACAAGACACATCTTGCCCCACCTGCAGGATGTCTCTGAATATCACTGACAGCCACCACGTGAGGGAGGATCACCAGAGGGAGAATCTGGATGAGAACCTGGTGCCTGTGGCAGCAGCAGAAGGCAGACCCCGCCTGAACCAGCACAATCACTTCTTCCACTTTGATGGTGAGCTGAGCACATCTGACACCTGCTGCTGGTGCCCACATGAACCAGGGGAGCAGGAGCAGCCTTCTCTAGAAGGGAGCTCTCTCTATGCTTCAGCTGGAACTCAAACCATGCTCTGCCTGTGTTTGTCCAACACCACTGTGTTTCCAGTGGCTCTTTTGCAAGAGCTCTGAGGTTTCCCAGAGCTGTGGAGACTTCTTGAAAGATTCTGTACAAGTGCTCCCCTTTTCTAGATTTGTTGTGGTCAGCAGCTTCAGTTACTGCCATTTATTCCTTGTGTGCCATGTTGACAAGCAGAATGGGAAATTCCTGTGTCTTTTTTTGCTACCATGTGATGGTTAATCAACAACAGTCAAAGAGGAGGAAAAAAGCCCTCTGTGGTGCAGTCTAAAAGTCAGTCTTTCCCCTATCACCTAGCTAATGTGTAGTTGTCAAAAGTCCATTTGCCACTCAGTTTATAAGACACTTGCAATGCTTGGTTTGGTGCAGAAGATTAGTCTCAGAAGGAATCATGTAGCCACAACAGTTTAAAATATTTGGGGGTTTTTAGTAGTGTGTTGTAAGTACTCTCAAAGCAGATGTGATTCCAGGCCACAAGAAGTTCTGTGTATGGAGACAACTTGTTTTGAAAAAGGCAGTTTATGTTGTTTGTCTTCCAGATTTTTCTTAGAATTTTGGTATTGGTGAGTGCTGTTTTCGACAGTCTCCCAGATTTTGATGGCACTCTTGGTGTTTCTCAGATGATTTCAGTACTGCAGATATTGAACTTTGGGCTCTGCCCTTGTGGAACTCCCATGAGGCAGTTGAAATGCTCACTGCAAACTTACACAGTGACCTGTTCCTCATCTGTGCTTGTTTTGAAATCTTTGGAGATTGGAGAATCGTGGGCAGAGAAGGGTCAGACAATTTCTAGGTACATGGAAACTGGCTGATAGCTTCTGCATGGCTTCCACTTGTGGGGTGCTTTAGGTCTCTAAAGGACATTTATATTTAGAATAACACAGTATTTTTGATGTTTGTCCTCCCCAGTGCTCTCCAGTGTCTTGGAGACCTGCAGTATTACCATGGAGATAGAAGGAGAAGTGGCATAGAGCAAAGCCTGAATTTATTTAATTGGCAGCACAGAAGGAGGAGGGAGCCACCCATGTGCCCTACTCTGTTGAGCTGAAGCACAAAATTGCAGCAGTCCCTTTGTTCAGTTACTCTGTGTCCCTTTGAAGTAGTATTTCTCAGTGATGACCCATTTTGGGCCTGGATTCAGATTTCTTAGAAGCTGTCCTGTTTTTGTAAAATTGCTGGATTTATTCATATATTCCAGAGCTGGATTTGACTCTGGATTATTTTAATTTTCACTTGAATAGGAACATTAAAAAAGAAAACAAGGATGTATTACTTCCTTGATCCTTTTGCAGCCCCCAGATAGTTACAGCACTATGACAGTGTTTTTGAAGAGAGTATGGGCAGGAACTGATTCACTCCAGCCATCTCCATGTCTGGGAGACCTTAGGGATGGATTGCACTGCAGAACTCCCTGCACATACCTTGTGGAATATAAAGATTTATGTTAAATACATGTAGAAGTACTTGGCCTGCTGAGATTCTCATCCTCTTTCTTGACTTTCTTGGTGATTTCTTACTCCCAGGCTCCCGAATTGCCAGCTGGCTGCCCAGTTTTTCTGTGGAAGTGATGCACACAACCAACATCCTTGGAATTGCACAAGCCAGCAACTCCCAGCTCAACGTTATGGTGAGACTGCACCTCAGCCTTCCTGTTTGTGTTGTGTAGGGGAAGGGGTTACGTGGAAATGGAGAACATAAAGGGGAAGGAAGTCAAAACAGTGGTTAGACACTAGATGAAAGCTGTTTTTCTGAGTGAGAGAAGCTTTACTTCAGTCAAGTTAGGGCTATATTTGGGTTCAGACTTTTTCTCAGCTTGCTTAGTGCAACTTCTTCAGCTCTTTTTCAGTACTTCTGTGACAACTTGCAGCACCAAAGGGTGTGAGTCTGTAACCACAGAATTTAGCTGTTGGTCAAGTAGTAACTGATCAAACCATTCTATAGGTTTTGATTTGGTTTTTTAGTCTTTAATAGCACAAAGCTTCAAGATAGCAATTTCAGTGTCTTATCAGTGTGAGATGGGCTCTCTAGCACCCTCAGCTTTTGCTGGTTCATGATGATGATAGAAGCGTAGAGGATAAAATTCCATATTTGTTGAATTCATCCATAAAAAGTCGAATGTAGTACAAAAAGAAAAAGATGTGGCCCCATGAAACACTTCATTTTTTTGAGAAGTGCTATTTCCTTTGAGTTGATCAAGATACCGTGTTCTATACCATGGTAATAAATGTTCAGTGAGGTGTCTCATGAAAGTGATGGAATTTTCTGAATATTAGGTCTTTCCCACCCATAGCCTATACTTCTGTTTAAACATCAGCAGGGCAAGGCCACTATTTTTAGGGTGTTTGAGGCAGGGAGGGATCAAAAAGATGCTGGCAGATGATTTATTAGTTAAATATGCAGGGACTCTCAATCTGAGGTCAGTTTAATTTTTCTTTTACTGGACACAGTGACACAAATAGGCTTTTGTTAAGGATGAGTAATGATTTTGCTAGGATTGTGTATTATCAAAAGTAGAGTAGCAACTTATATTAAAATGTCTACTTTAATGGAAAGCTGGTTAAAGGTTAGCAGATTATTAAAGTGTTATACATTTTAAATAGAAAATAAACGACATTTTCCTTTGTGTTACTGAATAAAAACCCTAGGGAAGTATTTTCAGGGGAAAGCCAGAGGCTGAAATGCTAAATCAGTTGGTTTGGTCATAGGTTAATACAGTGGGGGGTTATGTTTGCAGTAGTTGCTTGTGTTGGAACTCACTGTCAGTTGGTGCATAGTTTTTGCTTTGTTCTCAAAACTCCTTCCACCTTTCTTTTCTTATTGCCATTCTCATTCCCCTTTGCCCCCTCCATGACTTTGGGCATTACTGCAAATGGACATTTAAATATTAAATGAAATCTAGTTGTTGGACTCTGGAAGCATATTATTTGTCTTCCCTCTTACCTTTACTTATTTAATTTGGATAATATTTAACCAACTTGAAATTCAGTCATAACAGTTCCCTGACAACTCAGTTTAATTTAATTGAGTTTTCAGACCCTATTCAACTGGTTTGTAGGGAGGGTGGCTGGAGGGAGTGGGTTATTAAAACTTACTCCACTTGTCCTTATGGGTACCATTTTGGAACCAATATGGCAAAAATCAAAATAGTTTTTTTTCTTCCCAGTGTTGATCTAACTTTCAGTCACTCATGAGTTTTGTATAGACCTTTATTAAAAAGGCTGTCATAAGAAGAGGGCTGGGAAGCTTTTGAAACCTTTGTGGATCTACAGGCACTGTTCAGGGCCATGTGGTGTCTCCCTAGGAGCTGCAGGGTGTTGACTTCAGTGGAGGCAGCATATTGCCCTGTAAGTCACATTCAGCATGGGTTTCCTTTCTCTTTTCTTTCTGTGGGTTTGCATATCATAAGCAGCATCTTTGAGCTGGTAATATTTTTAATCTCCTTCTGTTGACATACTTATCAACTGACTTCTATTTACTGCTGATACTGACTGTATTGCTTTCTCCAGGCCCATCAGATTCAGGAGATGTTCCCTCAGGTTCCTTATCATTTAGTTCTGCAGGATCTGCAGCTAACTCGTTCTGTGGAGATCACCACTGACAACATCCTGGAAGGGCGCATCCAGGTGCCTTTCCCCACACAGGTGAGTCATAAACTGTGCACCTAAAATTACTTTCTTTCTTATCACAGCACTGAGCCTCCTAATAATGAGTGAGGGGAATTAAATGAGTTGAAGCACTGGTGAATCAGTGGGATTTTGTTTTTCCCTTTGTTTAAATCTCTGTAAATGCTGTGTATTCAGTCATGTACCAAAATATATTGAAAATATCCTAGCTAGACAAGAGACAAATATTTGCTCAGTTAAAGCAGCTCTTCCCAGTCTCTCTTGTGCAGAGCTTTTAGAACATTTCCAGTTGATTTCTCTGCTGACAGATAATTGAATTGTACCACTTAGGAAGATTTTTTGCGAAGAAAGTTGGCAAAATGATGCCTTGTTCTTTATTAGTGCCAGCAGATTTCAGTAAAGCAGTCTGGGGACAGTGTTTCTGTTAATAAGAATATTGAATTCTGGTTCTGTGCACATCAGATAGTACTGTTATCTGGAGTCTGTGTGTGGGGAAGCAGAGACAATTCTCTCTCAACAAAGAGCATTCTGTTTATTGCTAACTTATCTGTTTCTAAATTGAACACCACGCCTGACATTGCAGAGGGCAGAGTTTGAATGTGTTCAAGGAGCTCAGGTTTTTTTGCTCTTTCCCACACTGTATTAAACCCATGATGTTTGCATTTCAGCGTGCAGATAGCATTAGACCTGCAGTGAACAACCCTGTGGAAAGGCACAGTACTGATCAGGAGGATACTGGAACTGTCACACAGGTAAATTGGCATAAAAATGGGCAGAAAGCACAATTAGAAGCTGCATGGACTGGTAGGTGCCTTTGGTTCTGTAATCAGGTCAGGTTGGTGGCAGCCCTTCCTTGCATTTCACAGTCAGGCAGATAAATCAGATATGAATATAGTGCCCCTATAAAGGATTATCTGTGTGCTTTTCTTTTTCTTCCTTGAGGGAAAGTGCTCTCAAATGGTACAAAGAACAGAAGATCATCATGTCTCTTTTCATGTCTGGTCAGCCCATGCCTGTCTGTGGAATATGAAGAGCAGGTAGCTTTGCTCTTCCCCTTTTTCTTCTCATTCCCATTCTACACATCTCCAAACACTTCCATTAAAAGGAGGAGTATTTACTTTTTGAGTATAAGAATTCTTTTGTGTTCTGGAGGAAGCACTTTAGGACACAGGGAGCTTTGGTGGGAATGGAGTGAGATATGAACTGGACCAAGAGATAACAGCCCTTCTGTATGCAAAGCACAATAATGGGTTTTGCTGTTCTTTGCTAAGGCCTTTACTAAGCAGCATGTGCTAGCTAAAGTGTGGCAGGGAAAGAAAATTGCCCTGTGAGTAAAGTAAGATCTCATTTCACTTTTGTTTTCCCTGACTGTAATAGTGACATCCTGAGGGGTTCTGTTTTATAAATCTCCCTTTCTACTTGCTGAGTAAATTTCTGAGGGGTGTGACTTTCTCTGCAGCCTTTAGTGACCTGAAGAGCCAACCTGTTAATACCTGGAATTCAACTGTAGCAGTTCCCTTGTTAGCAGGTTGCAAGACAAAAGATCCTTTGATTTGGTCTGATTCTGCAGTTGAGGCTGAGGAAGAGGTGGTAGTGATGGTACAGATCTTTGGTAAGAGCCTGAGGAAGCAGCTACAGAACTGCATGAATGAAAATCTTGGTCTGGATCAAGCATTTTTGGGTTTTGAATCTTTGTAACCTTACGAAAAACCCCCAAACCTTAGGTGAGCCAACTCGCATCTTCTGATACAAATGGCCCAGGTGGACAAAGGAGTGATCTTGTCTGAACATCTTCACTACTTCCCCCAAAAGAGCTTCCCTTTTCCCTGCCCACCTCTGTGGGAATTGGGAGCAGCAATTGAGTTGCTCTGTACCTGTTCCACTGGGTCTGCCAAGGTCATCTTGGTCCCCAGCACAATCCATGGGATCATTCCATGGGGCTCTCCCTCCCTCCTCAGGAAGGTGGCAGTGCTTTGAGGCAGTCCAGTGGTTGCCCCTGTGTCATCCCAGTGCATTTGTGTGCACTTTGGTAAATTGCAGCACTGGTGGTTTTGCTAAGAGAGGCTGAACACCTAAACTTGTGTTTGAGGTTGCAGTGTCTGTACTGTGCTGACTTGGGCTCTGGGACTCCTGCTTGGCTCACCTACCTAATGGGAAGTGACATTTGTCTCAGTGTTTGCTCTCTGAAGGCGTTGTGTTGGGGAGATGGCCTTACTGGCCTGTCTCTAGGGCTTTGGCATGACTCAACCTGTTTTGCACCTCAGCTGCCTGAGCCTGTGTGTTGTACTGTGATGCTGCCATGGCCGTGGCCGGGCTGTTGGGGCTGGAGCAGCAGTCTCAGGGAATCGGCCATCGCTCTGCCCAAGGCCCCAAACCAGGCAGTAGGAGCTGCCTTGGAGCATCCCACTGGCTTGAGTTGTCCTCTGGGATACCAAATGATGGCTACAGCCTTCAGTGCTTCCCTGAGATGATTCTTGATGCCACCACTCCTGGCTCTGGCCATGGCTCTGCATCTCTGCATCGGGGGCTGATCTGATGGTGTGTGGCAGGGTGTGATCAGGATGTGCTGTTTCCCCTCTGCTGTGCACCCACACCATCCTCCAGCAGCTCACTTTTTGGGTTAGTGTTATCAGCTGGCTGTCAGGGGGGAGAGGTGCCATGTGGGGGCTACCAGCTCCTCTCCTGGCACACTGTGCTTGGGACAGTTGCCAGCCTTGCTCCAGCAGTCTAAACCAGGATGATTTGGGTGCTGCAGAACCCAGTGAACCGAAGCCTCATAAATTCCCTTCTTGAGCACAAATTATCTTTGCAAATACATTTGTTATTCTTTCCTTAGTATGTGGATTTCTGCTTTTTCAACTCTTTACTGTTGCATCATTTGTCAAGTCAGCTGCAGAATCTGACTTTCAAATGCCCCATTTTCAGAGAGCATTAATTATGAGTAATTAATGTTTGTCTTTGACATTACTTTCAAACATGGCATAAAAGATACAGTGTTATAGGATACAGGATCTTTGAGCATGGTTTGAAATAGCTTTGTTCTGTTTTTTGGCTGGGTTTTTCAAAGGAACCCGAAGGAATTGGGTATAGCAGGTGAGACTCTGGTTTCTTCCAGTGCCTCAGAAAACGACAATTCTTTGTAGCTTCTTGTTTCGATGCCAAGAAGCCCAAATTTTGCAAAGATGTATGCTTTATTTCCTTTTCTCTTAGACTGAGAGAGTGCCTCTTGAACTGAACTCTAGACTGGAAGAAATGGTGGAATTCAACGAGATGGAAGCAGAACCTAATGAAGCAGAAGATTTTGAGGCCAGGGGAAGTCGCTTCTCCAAGTCAGCCGATGAGAGGCAGCGAATGCTGGTTCAGCGGAAGGAGGACTTGTTGCAACAAGCTCGAAAGTATGTTCCCTCCTAAAACTCCACTCTGGCCACTCAGGTGCAGTCCCCCAAAATGGGTTTCAAATGGATTTGGACCACTGAGGCCTGGGTTGATGTGAAAAGCAGTAAGGAGAATTAATACATCTGCCCCAGCAGGCTCAGGATGCTGTACTGCTAAACCCAACTCAGAAATAGCATCACGTGTCCCAACATGCACACAGCTTCCTGTGCAGTTCATCCAAAGCTCTTTGAACTCAAAGGCTGATTTTTCCAGCTTCAGTGGGCTTTAGTCTAAGAATGTACTGAGAACTGGTTACTTGGGCTGAGTCCTTTAGCAGTCTTTAGTTTGGCTCCTGAACAGGTGTCTGCCCTCACTGCCTGTGCTCTTACAGCTGAAATTCCTGTCAGGCACCACTTTTTCCAGCTAGAGCCCAGAGCAGTGCAGATCTGACAGGTGACCCTTACTAGATCTCACCAAAGGAGCTCAGCACCAGCCAGCCAGCACTGGTATTATTGCTGGTATTCCAGTTACGTTGGTAGACTTTATTAGGATCAAGTTGCTGATTAAGCAGAAAAGGAAAAGCACTTTAGTGATGTAGAAAAAACTGCAGTGTTTTTATCAAGTGTTTTCCCTTCCTTTGTATTGCAGGGACACTCCTGAGAGGGTCTACAACAACCCCACTGAGTTCTGGGTCCTTTGGTGTTGTCAGGCTGCTCTTTTTCTTTTCCACACTGAAATGCCTTATAAATACCTGGGGGTGTGACACCATTTATAAGCCTATAAACAGACTTGCTCTTAGACTTAAGTTTTCCTTGATGTTTGAAAAAATGTCCTTTAGGAAGACAGAGTATTTTTGACTTTATGGTTTACTGGTTTGAAGAGCTGTTGAATTTCAAACTACTGGTTTTTTGCCATCAAAGTGTAAAAATTCACTGGGATGTTAACTGTGGCAGCAACTTCCTTGCCCTCTGGCCTTACAGTGTGCAGCCCCTAGTGCCCCTTCTGTCACTGGCTGACCTGCTGCCATCAGGGAATGCCTTGTTGTGGTAGGCAGTGCCAGAGGCTGAGGAGTGGAGTAACAGGAACAGAGGGAGTCAGTAACTCACCTGCTGTGAATGGCTCTGAGCTGAGGACAGCCCTGACCTTTAGAACTGGCTCCTTCCCACAGGCACAAAGATCTTGCACAAAACCTAAGAGCTTGTGCCAACTCTGCAGAGCCTGTTGTAGGTGACGTGGGCTTTTTTAGGAGCACATAACCTGTGTGCACTTTTATTGAGGCATTTTCTTCCTGGTTTGCCTTCCAGCCCTCCCGACTGCAGCAATGCTTTTTTCAGAGCCAGAACGAGGTGGGTTCTGCTCACTCATCTTTTCTTTTCTCCCTCAGGCGTTACTTGAACAAAACCTCCGATGAGGAGCTGAGCACAGAGAAGCCTTTGCCCGAGGGAGCGGCGGCCGACGCCGCCACCCTGCGCCGCAGGACCCTCGCTGCCGCCGCCGAACGGAGACTTCAGATGCAGCAAAACTCTTAGCGCTCGCTGCCCCTCCTCCTCCTCCTCGTGAGCAACGTTGAATAAATAAATTACATACAAAAAACCCTGCGCTTTCTATACCAGCAAGAAAGTGTCTCTTCAGAGTTCAGCTGGCTGTGCTGCCGAGTGAGCTGGCTGCCTCTCTGCTGTATAAAGCATGTGGTCTAATAATGTTTGGACAGCTGACAAATTAACCTTTTTTGTAATATTTTCTATGTGACGTTGATCCTCTACACAACAAAAGGCAATTTCTAAACCACGGGCATGACTTCTGCAGCTGGCATGAGCTATGGGGCTGACGGCACAGCAGAGGCTGGGGAAGTGTGTTCTGAGGTAGCTGTGGGTGCAGGTCACGGAGTGCACGGGCACGTTCTGCTCGAGATCAGGGCCAGTTACTCCGAGGGAAGGAAGCTTAGAAGCTTGCAGCAAGCCCTGTGTTAGACGAGCAGGCTCCTCAGTCCCTGTTCCTTCAGCAGCCAAGGTGTTACGTAGGGCAGCTTGAAGGGCTGGGGCAGCCTCGCTGGGAGGTTCTTACACTGGATGAAGTTGTCTGGCTACACAGCACAGAAAAACCTGAATTCATGAATTGTGCAGCAAAGCGCTGATTCCCGCATAAAATAGTTCACTGTTGCTGGGCTCTTCTGCACTGGCAGAGGTTTGGCTCTGTTCATCCCCAGGGCTGCACTTTGCCTTTATGTCCAGGAACAAGTGAGGGACAGAGGGGGATGGAGTGAAGAAGAGGGACCTAAGGCGAGGTTACGGTGTTGCCATGAGCCGAGGGAGTCAAAACCTGCCTGTCCTGGACTCCAGCACCACACGGATGGGACGGTGCAGAGATCCCTCTATTATCTTGCTTTTTATTTCATTTTTTACCCCACAACCTCACCCTGAGTTTATTCAGAAAGACTGGAGGAACGGGGGCAGCTGGACCTTTGCTGGCTGCAGCCCAACCTGCTAACCTGGATTTTCTTAAGAACTTTTGAGATCCCCTTGGCGCCGCCGCCGCTAGCTTACCTAGTTGAATTTTACATGGCAGTGACTTAATTTTTAAACTTCTGAAGAGTGAGTTCTAGTTTCACCGTCCTTTAGAAGGAGCTCAGTATTATCTAGAATTGTTGGTAATTTTTTTACTGTTGGTTTTTAGGTGAAGGTGAATTTAATGAGAGGAATTGCATCGATGTTTAGGTGAAAATAATTTATTTCAATAAAACTCTTTGGGAAGCCTTACCTTGCAATGCTATTAGTAAACCTCAAAAAATTTTTTTGAGATCTTTGGTTTTGCTTTGAACACAGCTGTTTTGTTTTTACTGTTAAAAAAAAACCCAACGAAACAAAAATAAAACCTTGATCAGTGTTGGAAATTGTAAATTTCTGTAGTGTGATTTCTCATGTTTTTTATGGTGTTTGAGAGACTTGGGCTGTTCTTTCCAGGCTTCTGTTGCGCTCCTGACGTTTCCCGGCAGCTCCCTGAGGAGCGGACCCTGGCCAGCCGCTGGATGGCACCTTTGCCTGCGGCAGCGCTGCAGAGCGACACGCTTGAGCCGTGAAAGGCTGGTTTGTGCACAGGAGCACAGGACCAGTGCTGGCCTCTTGGCTGGCTCTGCCTCCCTGGGAAGGGAGGTCATCTGAGGAGAGGCCTGATCGACTTTCCCAGTGCCAGCATACGCTTCTGGTGGCTGTAAACAGCAGGAGCCTTGGAAAAGCCGTGTGTTGGTCAGGAGCTGCTGCTGCTCTCCCTCCCTCCCTCCCTCCCCGGGGCTGGGCAGGGGACACGCGGGGTGCCACAGGAGGTCCTGGATGCCTGGGTCACCTTGCCTACGGCTCCATCCCAGGTGTTCCCATGGAGTTTGGAAGCGTTCCCGTGGTACAGGAGGGGATGCCAGGTGTGCCCAGAGCCAGCCCCGTGCCAGGCAGTGCCAGTGCTGTGCCCAGGGGCTGGTGGCTCTCCAAGAGTCCCACCCGTGGTCATGGTGACCAGTGCTGGCAGGCACAGGAGCTGGGGACCTGGGATGAAGGAGAGTGCAGGAAAAACCCAAACTGGGAAAAAACCCCAACCCCCCCAAAAATCCAAACAAACCCTGAATCTCCTGGAGCAGCAGGGAGAAAACCTCAACTTTCTTGGAAAACCTTCCACTTTCAGGGGGAAAAACTTGAATATTGTGGGATTTGTGTTGCCATAAATGAAGGACTCACCCTGGTGATTAGCTTTGCATTCCCTAAAGAAATAAAAATCTTTTCTTGCCTGAGGGGACCTTTGCTTTGGAAGCAACAGAGAAAGCCACAGAGAAAGCAACAGAGAAAGCCACACACGGCTTTCTTAAGATTTACACAAATTCTATACTTGCACCAATCCATAGTTCCCTTCTCCCTCTGCTACCAGCAGCAAATCCCCCCAAAATGTGATTTTTGGTATTTTTTCTTCCTCTCTTTGGAAGGAGGCAGGCAGGCGTGGGGGAAAGAAGGAGGCGGAGGCGCGGGAGGGAGAGCCCGGGGTACAGACAAACATTCTCTTTATTGAGCTACACATGAATTTTTCCATTAGTCAGAGAAAGAGATTGGCAGTGTGTAATATATCACAGAAACCTCACTGATTGGTAATAGAAAGGCTTAGAAAGACCTGGCGCTTTTTATATATATATATATATAATATCTTTTTTTAAGTTTCCTCTTTATTTATTCATTTTCTTTTGAACAGGTGTGACTGCTCTTCTTCAGCAAAGGTAACTCGTAAAAGTGAAACTGTGAAGACGTCTGGTTACTAATCAAAGTAGAAATGACAAGGGATTGGTCATGAAAACAGTGGCTTCAATGTAAACACTACATTCGATTTTTCTTGTTTTTTTATTATTTTTTAAGTTATTTTTTGTGGTTTTGTGTGTGTTTTTTAAAATTTTTAAATTATTTTCATTCTTGCTTTTTTTTTTAAGTTTGCTTTTTTAAGTTTTTTTTTTCTTTTTTTTTTCCCCTTTTTTCTTATTTTGCAGCACAAACATCCCCACATGAGAGAGAAAACACCATTCACTAAAAGGGAGAGAGGACTGGGGCAGGAGAGGGGGAGAGAAAAGCAGCACAAAAAAGCATTCACTGGAAAGAGTTAAAAATAATAACAAAACGAAAACAAAAAAATACTCTAAACAAAAAATAAAATAAACCAAAATATATATATATTTGTATAGCCCTCCCTGATGTCCCTGGTCGGCCCTGAAGGAGGGATGAGGGGGACTGTGGCTGGGGGGCTGAGCTGTGCTTTTGGATACGGATCTGGAGAGTGAGCAGTGACCGGGAGCAGGGAGCTGTTAAACCAGGAGGGAAAAAATGGGAAAAACCCACCGGCTCCGGCTGGTGAGGGCTTTGGCCTGAACTGGGGTGGGAATTCAGAAAATCCGACCTAAGCCTCCTGAAACCCTGGGAAGGGAGCAGGAGGAGGATGCCCCACTGCAGCCTTCCCCCCGAACAGTCAGGGTGGGAAATGGGAGAAGATCTGCTTGTTATTTCCTTTTTTAGCTGTGACATGTGGCCGGGGGAAGTTTCCAATTTTTTCCCTCCTTATTTAAAAAAAAAAAAAAAAAAAGAAAAAAAGAAAAGAAAAAAAAGAAAAATCTTTTTGTTTCTGAAGGTGGCAGCAGGGCCGGGACAGGCAGGGGCAGGGGCAGCCCGGCCTTGCCCATGCTGGAAAAAAAAAAAAAATCAAAATAATAATAATTTTAAAAAGCCAACCCACAATAATGAATTATAATAATGATAATTAAAAAATAGCAGCCCATGGTCAAATAACTGCTGGGAGGAGAACCGGAGTGACCCCGGGCGCTGCCCTTTCCCCTTTCCCTGCCGGTAGGGGGAGCTGTGGGATGGTGAGGCCGGGCAGAGCCCCCGGCCCGGGGGTGCCCTCAGGCTGGGACACTGCGGGCCGGAGGGAGGAGCCTGGTGGGACAAGGCGGTTCAAAAAAACAAACTAAAAAGGTGGGTGTGGATTGTTTTTATATATATATATACGTATATATATAATTTTTCCTTATGCCTTTTTATTTACCAACTCGCATGATTATGATGACTTTTTTTTTCTCTCCTTCAATCTGTTTTTTTCGTTTCTTTTTTTTTTTTTTTTCCCCACGCGTGTGTGTGTCTGTGTGTCTGTGTGTGGTTGCTTTGGGGTTGTTTTTTTTTTCCCGTTATTTTTATGTTTCTTTTCTCTCCTGGCGGCGGGATCGCCACCCAAGCAGTCGCTGAGCGCCGCGCGGGGTCAGTACAAGCCGCAGCCCCGCAGGTTGTTGGCAATGATGATGTCGGTGACGGCGTCAAAAACCACCTGGATGTTGTTCGTGTCTGTGGCACACGTCATGTGGCAGTAAATCTCCTTGTTCGGGGAGCGGTTTTTGCTCTCGAATTGTGCTTGGATGTAGGCGGCCGCATCCTCGTAGGTGTTGGGACCTGCGGGCAGAGCGGGGTCAGGCCTGAGGGCCGCCTCCCTCCCTCCCGGCACACCCGGCCCCACGCTGCTCGCGAGGAGCTTTCATTGTAACAGAAACTGGCAAAAGTATTCATTTTCACCCACCCTCCCCTTCACCCCTTAGCAAGGTCCGTTTTCCCCCCATATCCCTCCTTCCCACCCCCATTACCCTTCTGCCCCCCCTCTGCCCCATTTTCCCTGAAAACATCACACCCGAGCCCTGTGGAGGGCTCCTCCTTCCCCAGGTGTTGCTTCTCTGCCCTCTGCCCTTTTCCCCCGGGAAGGGTAGGGCAGGGCAGGGTCCCCCCGGGCAGGGCAGGGTCCCCCAGCTGTGCCCAGCCGGGCTGGGCCCGAGGGATGTCCCCGTACAGGGGCACCCCCACAGTGCTCCTGGCCTGGGGGCAATGGCCTGGTGGCCCCTCGACCAGACAGGGGGAGGGATGGCCAGGAGAGCTGGTGGCCACCCCAACATCACCCATGGATACCGGCTGTACCCCCTTGTGGGGCTGAGCCCCTGTGTGCCCCACCTGGGCTGGCTGGGGGCCTCACCCCGGCACTGGAGTGGTGCTGGTGGCCCAGGAGCCGTGTGGGGACATGTGTTGTGACTGGGAAACCTCCCAGTTTTTGCTTTGGGAAGGTGGGCTGGAGAGGCGCCAGATGCTTGAGCCGAAAAATGTGCATTATTGCCTTAAGCTGCTTAGGGCAGCGGGAGAGGCTGCGCTGGCCCCTCGCGGGAAGCCACAAAGCTGAGTTACGCCCCTGAAATCGCCTTTGCAAGAGCTGCTATTATCTGGAGATTTATTTTCCTTTCCCAGCTCGCTGGTTCCCCTCGTTCCTGATGCAGTGGGTGGCCGAAGGAGAGGGAGGCTGGGCCGGTGCCACCAGGCTGTGCCCCTCCATGGGGGCACAGTGGCCTGGCTGTGCCATACAGCTGCACGTGGGACAGTCTGGATTGTTCTACCAGGTGGCTGTGAGGAAAGTGCTGGTGCCTTTGGGATGGAGAAGCCTCAATGCCTCTGGTGGAAATGCTGGTGTACTTATGCTGTAGGGGAGTGGGTGCCATCTTGCTGGGGGACTTCCTTGTCCCCAGGGTTTGGCATCCAGGATGGATGTGCTCTGGGTGGAACAGTTCAGAGACACCTCAGTATCTGCAGGGGATGCTCGAGTCTGAATTCAAACTGGCTTTTTTCTTTTCCTTAGAGAATTCCAAAGGATCTATTCTTGCCCATCTTCTTGGTTATTTATCCTTTTCCCCAGGCCATGTTGGTTTCACTACAGAATGGAGGATTCTCTTGAGGTTCCACAGATTCCTGCTGTAAAGGGGCTCTTTCCTCCCCCAGCCACACCCAGCGTGAAGGCACTCCTGGAGGATGCTGCCTGGAGGACCACGAGTCTTAGCTCCTCCTCTCCCAGGAGATTCCCAGGAGCCACCAGCAAACAGGATGGCTCCAGTGGCTTGGCAGTCAGCTCCTGCCAAATCTTCTTCTTTCCACAGCTCCCTGTGCCCAGGCTCATTTCATCTCCTCTCCATTTGTCTTGACCCCCTCTCTGTCCCACCAGCTGCTTGGGCACCTTTGCCACAAGAACTGCCCCACCCAGGACACAGCCCCAGCCCATGAGTGGGGTGCTGGAGCTGCATCACAGCTTCTGAAGGTGCTTTTGCAGTGCTTCTACACCCCCCAAAGGCTCCCTGTCCCCTCTGTCCCCCGGGCCCCGGTGGCGCAGAGTGGGTGTCACAGCAGCTGTGCTGTGTCAGCCTCAGGACCTACCTGTGTACTCAGGGAAGCAGATGGTCAGAGGTGACTTCTTGATCTTCTCAGCAAATAGGTCTTTCTTGTTGAGGAAGAGAATGATGGAGGTATCGATGAAGAATTTGTTGTTACAGATGGAGTCGAAGAGCATGAGAGATTCGTGCATGCGG